GGAAGACACGAGCTGAGTCCGAGAACATGGGCTTCTAGGAAGTTTTCTAGGCCGAGGTCTTGGTCGCCACCCACCCAACTTCCACTCCTCCAAGATGGAGCTGCCACCTTGTCTGGGTCTTCCCCCTCCCCCCTGTGAACCAGGGGAGGATGTCCCAGCCTCAAGGTGGTCCTGGACCCCGTCAGTGATCGGTTTAAAGGTGGTCGCCTGAGTCTGAATCAGCCGATGAGGTATCAGGGGAGACCTGGTTGTTGGGGCTCTGGGAAGTTATTCTGGAGAGGCGGCCTGATAGTCTTTCTCAGAAGTTCTGCATCTCTGCCCTGGCCGGTTTGGCTCAGCGGTTAGAGCATCGGCCCGCGGGTCAGAGAGTCCCGGGTTCGGGCACGTACCTCGGTTGCAGTTTGTCCCCGACTCTGGTTGGGGTCGTGTGGGTGGTAACCAGTTGATGTGTCTCTCTCACGTCGATGTTTCTCTCTCTCTTTCCCCCTCTCTCCCTCCTGCTCTATCTGAAGATAAATGCAAAAATGTCCTCGGGTGAGGATAATAAAGAAAGAAAAAGAAAGTCCTGCATCTGGGTGGGAGCACGGTTCTGCATCCCCCCCACCCCGAGCAGCAGCCCAGGGTGAGGACCACACGAGCCACTGATGCAAAGGGTGGGGAGGAGCCTGCATCAACCACCCCGAGGGCATCCCCAAAGGCCAGACCAACTGAAAACGCAACTGAACTGTTAACAGTGAAACCAGAAAGGAAGTTGTGGCTACTCTGGGGCCAAAGCCATTGCAGGAGACCAGTGCTTCGAAATGAGACGCAAAATCTGGGGGAACAGCAGACTCAGACATGGACCATGCGCAGCAGCACCCGAAACGCCCCTTTAGATCAGGATTCAGTAAGGGCCCGTGTCCTCAGTGCAATGGTAGACAAGGAGTCACCTTCTTGTGAGCAAAAGGAAATAATTGTTAAAAAATTATTAAAACCCTCCTCCGTGACAGCTTCCGGTGGGAAAAGTCATTAACAATCATGATAATATTAACAGCATCCGTTGGGAATTGTAAGGACGTTGGGCTGGGAGTCACATTTCCACAGAGCTAGGGAAACCCTAAGCAGCCAAACTGAAATTAAAATACTGCCATGAGAACATCAGCCCTGGATGGCCAGCAGACACAGACACAGATGCTTTCTAGAGGGACGTATCTCAGCCCGCAGGTTGCATTGAGCTAACAGCAAGCTCCCAGCATGATATTACCAAGTGCAGAAGAAATAACACACCATAAGGGAGAGTCAGCAGGAACAAAGAATAGATTTAATTCTCCAAAGATTTCTGATGTTGAAATGACTGGATGAAGACTATAAAGTATGTTTCCTAGGCTTGAAGACGCAAAAGAGGGCATCGGAACTATGACAAAGCAAGTACTCAAAATGAACGGAGCAGATTTGAAAAATCATCAGCTAGAACATCTGGAAACAAAAAAATAAAATAATTGAAATCATAAACATAAGGGTTGTGCTAAACAGTGTTAGTGATTGAAACGGAAGTGCTGATCTGGACACAGTCCCCAGAAGCAGGTGGAACCCAGGGAAGGGGAGTTAGGAGATGTGGAAGACAGAGGAGAGGACCTACTGTGTGTCCAGTCCAGCGGTTCGCCACCAGGGTGGTTTCGCCCCTAGGGGACGTTTGACAATGTTGGGAAACATTTTCTTGGTTGCAGTTGTAGGGCAAGATGACGCTGAGTCAAAATTAGATGGATCCAACAACTTTTCTTCCCGGCCAGTCTCTACACTTGACAACTTTAAAAAATAATCCATTTGATTGAGGTATCATTTACAATAAAATGCAATCCTCTCATTGTAAGGACCCAAGTAGGTGTGCAGTGTATTCTGCACCCAGGGTTGATGGTGGGGAAGTATGACTTGGCCACAGAGGCTGCCTTTCTTGCTCCGGTGTTATTGCCAAGCCCAGAGGCAAAGCACATAAAACCCTCAGTTCCCAGCTCTGAGTGTGGCTTCAGGTGGCTCATCCTGGGCTGTCACCACTGGGCCATTTCACCTGAGGGATCCAGAAGCTTCTCTTTGATGTCCTCACCCACTTATGCCTGCTGAAGTCATCCAATCTGTAAAGAGAAAGCCACGTGGTCCTCAGAACTGAGGTCTAAACTAGGTAGAAAGCTAGTTCTCAGGAGTTCAACTTTGTCTTGGGGACCATCTCAGCTCACAAGCATATGTTTTTCATGCACTTTCTGCGTTACCTGCCAGAGCAGACCGACACCTTTCTGAGGCTGTGTTTTTAATGACCCCAGATCTTTCTGGTCTGCCTTCAGGTGCTTTTATGTTCACTGTGTCTCTGTAAGAAGCTAATGCCCTGGGGGAGCTGTCCCCTTGCTCAGAACTCCTGGATGCCCTGTCCCCTCTCTCCCGGGAAGAGCTCCCAGCAGCCCGTGTGGTCCGGGCTTCATACAGACATCATCCACCCTGCTGAGGAGCCCATGGAAGGCTGGCAGGGTCTTCTTTAATGCCCACGATCACTCGGTGAGACAGGTCCTGTTACATCTCCATCTTACAGAGGACACTGACGTTGGGGTTTTAGCCATTCTAATGGGTGTGCAGTGGTATCTCATTGTTGTTTTAATCCCAACGATGCTTCCTAAGGCACCTCCAATGGTGATGGCTCTAGGGGAGACTGTGATCTTCCTCCTCAGCTGCAACCCTCCTCTTCAGTGCTAAAAGGAGGGCAGTTGAAATGGGAACAGGCTCTTGCATTTCAAGCCAGATTTACAGAAGGAGACAGCAAAAGGCTGTCCTCCTCCATACACAACAATGTGCACCAGAAATGGTGCCTGACCTAGTGAGTCCTTGACTAGTTACATTTGCTGAATGAATGAATGAATGAGTGAGTGAGTGAATGAACGAATGAATGAATGATTGAATGAGTGAGTGAATGAATGAATGATTGATTGAATAAGTGAGTGAATGAATGAATGATGAATGAGTGAGTGAATGAATGAATGAGTAAGTGAATGAATGAATGAGTGAGTGAGTGAGTGAGTGAATGAATGAATGAGTGAGTGAGTGAATGAATGAATGAGTGAGTGAGTGAGTGAGTGAATGAATGAATGAATGAGGCCATAAGAATCAGACCTGGCCCCAGACTCATACTTTCAACAGGAACAGCAACCTCAGGTCTAACTCCCCTAAAGGTCATCCTTGGAGCTCTCCACTGAACAGCTCTTCACCTACTGGGGACCAACGCTGACCTCCATACTCAGGACACCTCCAGTTGACGGAACTGTGCTGACACAAAGGTGAGGCATGAGCCTGGCGGGGGCGCGGGGGCAGATCGGCAGGGGCCTGGCCACCGATGTCAGGTTCCTGAGCTCAGGAAAGGTTTGCGGAGAGGTGACCAGCAGATGGAGAGCTGGGATGGAGATGACGCAGGGTTGCAGATGTGCCCTTCCAGTCAGAGGGAGCCCCAGACTCCTTCCCTGTTGACCCTCATGGCATGACTTTGAGGGGAACCCAGGGGAGCCAACAGAGCTGCGCCGGGACTCTCATTCTCGGCGGAGACTCGGCCCCCCGGCTCCAGGGGCAGGGGTCTGCAGTGGGGACGTCAGCAGACCATGTCGTGAGGCTCAAGGCCCAGCAGGTGTGAGCCACGAAGGCAGAAGCTTCAGAGACTCGATGAGGAAGACACTGGAAACGCATCCCTTTAGTCTCTTTGATCAAGTAAACACCATTCAGAACTATCCGACCTCAAGAAGAAAGACGTCCAGGCCCCAGGCCCCGGCAAGGGGGCCCTTCTCGCTGGTCCTGTGCCATCCAGCTTCTCCCTGCCCCTGAACCGCCTCTGGGTCACGCGGTGCTCGGAACGAGGGTCGTCAGCATGGAGCTGCTCGGAGCATGAGGGCCTCGGAGCCGGGCTCCCCCTGGAGGCACGTGGGTGCTCTTCCCGCTCTGGTCTGTTTCATGCCTGTCTCTCCCTACCCTGGACACTGGCACATTAGGCAGTTTTCAGTGGCACATTAGGCAATTCCCAGAAGCGGTGTGTGTGTGTGTGTGTGTGTGTGTGTGTGTGTGTGGTGGGGTGCTCAGAACAGACAGACACTGGCTGTCCACTGCAGCGGATTCCCTTGGATGACGTGATAGGAGTAGCAACCCCTCTGTTGTACCTCCAGAGAGATCCGGGAGCTCACTGAATATCAACAGTAAGACCCTGTGGGCAAAGCATGGGCACTAGGTTGGCAACTGCTAATGGCCCCTCACCCATCTGAGCCAGCTGGTGACAAGCTGGTGATGGCTTTGCCTTCTGAAGAGCCGCCGGGCCACCTGAGTCTGGCCGGATCTCTGAGAGGCAGGGACACGCTCCCCAAGGGGGCCTCTGGAGCTGCTGGACTGTGGGCCTTGGTCCCCAACAGGGTGACTCCAACGTCCCCGTCTGGCTCAAGCTCTGCCCTTTCTGGACACCGTGGGCATTTTCAGGCCGTCACTGCTCAGAGCCCTTAACCACGTGTCCAGTGCGTGAGAGTTGTCAGCCGCTGAAGGGGGCAGACGGGGGACTGGAGGATCCCAGCGGGGAGGAGGGTTCCAGCTACCACGATGGTCAGGCATCTCCCTGTGGCCCCTTGGGGCCGAGAACCAGGGCCCCTCCCAGGACCAGGGGCAGGCGGACATGTTCGCCTGGTGCTCAAAGGGAAACATTCCCCCGGGAGCGGAGGGCTGGGGGTGCGGGGAGAACAGGGACAAAGGGCACAGGCCTCCGGTTATGAGATGAGTAAATTCGGGATCGAAGGCACCGCGTGGGGACTGTCGTTAACAAGACCGGTGGATGCTTGCGATTTGCTGAGGGTTTAGATCTGAAACTTCTCACCACACCAAACAAGCCCAGAGGATAACGGTGCAAACCGACGTTGCCTCAACCTGATCGTGGTTATTATTCCACGATGTATATGAAGTCATCATATTGTACGCTTTTAAAAAACACATTTACACCTCAAATATATGTAGTTTATGTGTCGATGACACCTCAACACAGCCGGGCACAGAAAAAGCCGAAGGGACAGATTCCCAAAGGGCGCCTCCGTGGATGTTTGCCTTGGGGGGCCCCTTGCAAATGGGACGCTCCCTTTGGTGGGAGGACCCACGGACCCGTGTGGCACAAAGTGACCGAGTCCAAGGGTGTGTTTTCCTCCGACAGTTTAATGAACCTTATTTGAACGTTACTTACAAGAAACAACACCATTTTCCTGTTTTATGACCCTCCTCCCTGGCCTTGAGGCAGTTCCTGAGGCCCAGCAGCCCCCCGGGAGACTGAGCCGCGGTGCTGAGTGGGGAAGCACAGGCGAGACCCCCAAATCATGGCCCCAGCCCCTGAGATGTGCGTGGGGGGGAACAGGGGCTTGGGAGCAGGGTGAGGAGGAGGAAGGCCAGCATCGCACCCCCCAGCGAGGCTCCCCATCCCTCCTCAGCCCCGTGTACTCAGAGCAGTGTCCTCCCGGGGCAGAGGGGACATCCGTCTCTCAGGCCCCAGAACCAGGGACTCGCCACAAAATCACCCTCCGTGTGTGTGCGTGTGTGTGTGTGTGTGTCGGTGTTCTCACTAGCAAGAACCATCAAAACCCAACTAGATTAGCTAAAGAAGAAAAAACATTTAAAAACGTATGCATAGAGCAGAAGCCCAGGCATAGAGGGTGTGGAACTGGTCTCAGGAACGACAGGGACCAGGGCCTGGCCGTCTGTCTCTCCTCTCGCCTTCCTGCTGCTTCTGTCTGTGCTTTGGTCCCCAGCGCTGTGCCGAGGTCCCCCAGTAGTGAGGACACAACTGTTCGAACTTGGGCTCCGTCCCAACAGCTCCCGACCACAGGCCCCGAGCCCTGGTGGGGTGGGGTGGGCTGCTTTCTCCCCGGAGTGGGAACAAGGTGCTGTCCCTCCAGGCCACGAGGACGCTTCAGGAGGGGTCCGAGCTATGTCCCTGAGCCGTGCAGAGCAGGGAATCCAGGGGTCTCCGGAGTATTCCTCCGTCTGTGTCTCCCTGGAAATTCGGTCTAGGGCAGAAAGTGTCTCTCATCCACCTGCCTAAGGCGCTGTGTCTTCAGTCAGGTCAAAGGACAAGTCCATGTAGGCAGGCTGCATGGGGACCCTCGGAGACCACTTCAACCAGAGGATAGCGCCAACCAAGGCGAGTAGGATGGGCACCTTCACGAACACCAGGAGCATGTAGTGGTTCCTGCCACACAGAACAGAGTTAGCGTGCCGGGCCCTCCAGGCCCTGCCACTCCTGGTGCCCTGACGCTGGGGCACCCGCCAGCCCAGCCCAGCCTGTGCCCCCAAAGACACCCATGAACCTCCTCAATGGCTGCACCATGAGGGCTCCTCAGAGGTAACCTCAGCGTCCTGGGTTTGCTTGGTACCCGGCCCGGGGTCCCTCTGGGGCCCCCCGTTCCCCAACGTGCACCTCCCCCCGGAGGGAGTGCCTGCTGTCATCCCAGACAGGCTGCTGGCCTGTGTCCTCGCTGCTCCGCCAAGTCACCCTCCTGCTCTACGGCCTGACGCCTGGCCTCACGGAGATTCGTGTCTAATCTCCCTTGGCACCCACCAGGTCGTTAGGACTTTCTTTGTTGACAGCCAGACAGGGTGGCCGTGCAGGAGCCTGGCCAGAGGGTTTGCTGGCGAGGCTGGGACGGGACGGTGGTGGGTGAGGGGTGAGACGGGGCGGGGGCTTTGGGCCCTGATGCTGGCTGTGCCAAGCAACCGCACAGGGGCAGAGGGGCCCCGGGCTCGCCGTGCCATGGGAGAGGGGCAGGAGAAAGGGCCGAAGCCACTCACCGCCTGTGGGAGCTGGAGGACACCCCTGGGTATGTGTTGGCCGTTGTCCCGGAGAGCAGATTTTCTAGACACAGGCAGAGTTGGCCACAGGTCAGTGGCACAGACCAAGAGTTGGTGCATGGCTCCCGCCGCCACCCCTGCCCTGCCAGCCCCCACCACAAACCCCCTTCCCCTGGCTTAGGAAGCTTTGTGTGTTTGGGGAGGTCCCTCAGGCTTCCCCCCTTTCTATGGGACCATCGGAATCCAGCACACAGTCATGGTTTCTGTCATTTCCGGGGGTGGCACCAAGAAATGCCAGTTCCCGGGAGTGGGCATCGGAGCGTATTCTGAGGGCGCTCATCCCCTCCGCGCCCTCCGCTTGTGGGACTCCAGCTTTGGGGGGAAATACCCCCGGCCCTTTGGGGTATTCCGGGCAGGGCCAGAACTGTCAGGGACAGACAGGCCTGGAAATGGGGTTTCTAGTTACTGGGCGGCGAGGGGAAGGAGCACCCCGGAAGGCTGGTGAATAAGGGGGCTCAGTAGTGGGCAGTGAGTGCGAGGAATCAGACATCCTTATGAGACACTAAGAGACCGTTTATGGCGACCGGCCTGGTCCTGGCATCCATGACGGACCTTGTATTTGAGTCCTAGGTCTGGCGAACTCTGTTCCGCAAGCCGCCCCCCCCCCCCATCATGCTGGACAGCTGGCTGGGCTCCAGGTAACCAGTCACAACATCTGCCCTGCAGGCCACAGGCTGGTGCCGCCCGGCTCCCGACCCAAGACCCCTGAACCCCTTGTCCCCTAGAGCTCTGCCTGGGCACACTGCTAAGCAGTCTGGATCCCTGCTTGCGGGTCTTCCTCAATCCCCTTGTGTCCCCCCAGATCTTGGCTTCCCCTACGTACCCTGCGCACGTTTTGCTTGACTGATCCTCCCTGGACTCCGCTCCACCCAGCGGCCCCTGTCTTTCTCGGGTTCCAGCCCTAACCGTTCGTGGGCGACTGTGCCCCAGTTTCTCTCGCTTTCCTCCCATCTGTCTGTCTGTCTGTCCCTCGCTCTCACACACTGGTTCTCAGGGACTCCGCCTTTCCCCTCTGCCCTTGGGAGGAGAAGGCAGGAACCCACGTTCTCTCAGTCCTGAGCCCCAGGACCTCGTGGTCGACACGAGAAACTCCTACCTGGGCCGATGGTCACTGTAATCGGCGCCCCACGGTCAGTTCCAATCCTGTTAATCCCGCACCAGTAGGTGTCTTGGTCATCTTGCCGGAGGTCCTTCATGGTTATCGTGATCACGCGGTCATTCTGATTGTCTGTGATGGCCACCCGGTCTTTCCGCACTGTTTGCTGGGATCCCGTGGTCTGAAGGAGGATCCGGCAGGAACGCCGGTAAGCTCCTCGGCACCACCACTTCTTGTTGGTCTCCCAGCCGGGCTCATAGCGACACTGCACCGTCACTGAGCTCCCCTCCTGGCCTCTCACCATCTTTGGGCCTTGGATGGAGAAACAGCCTGGAACACAGAATTCCCAGGATGGAGATCCTGCCCCCCGACGCCGGGCCTGACCTGGGGCAGCCCTGGGCTCAGACGACTCCAGGCTGCTGTCCAGGCACTGGACCAGGGTCCCCAGCCTTGCCGGCCCCCTTAGCGTGCCCCTCTCATCCACCTTCTCGTCCATCCAGTTACCCCCTGTTGCTCCCCCAGTGACAATCCTCTGACCTCTGTGGTCCTCATCTCCCTAGAGATGCTCAAACACTGACCCTGATCTCTGACGGCTTCTTAACTGTCTTCTCAGTCTGCCCCCCCCCCCCCCCCGACTACACTGGCTCCGAGGCCTCTCCTGGTTTCTCTCCCTCTCCCTTTAAATCTCAGCATAACCAGCCCTGGCCGGTTTGGCCCAGTGGTTGGAGCGTCGGCCTGCGGACCAGAGATCCCAGGTTCGGTTCCTGCTAGGGGCATATACAAAAAAACCCCAAAACAACTTAGTTTATAGCATTTTCCAGTTTCCGTGGTGGCTGATTTCAGGTGACCAGCGTGCTGTCACTGGACACAGAGTCGGGAAGAGCTGTTTGAGCCGGTCCTTGTGCACGTGTGAGCCGCTCGGGCACACCCCGGAGGGGGGCCCAGGGCTCTGTCCAGCCTTCATCGGTCTCGTTCTCGTCCATCCCCACGGAGTGACTCTTCAGCTCCATGTTTCTGTTTTTGCCTTTGTAACCCAGCTCATCCCCTCACTGCTCGCTCCCTTTGCTAACGCACTCTGGATATCTCTACCCAAACTCAATAATACGGACTCGTCCCCCCGCCCCCGAACTTCCTCTTCAGTCTTCCCTCCCTCTGGGGAGGGTCCCCGTGGGCAGACTGGCAGAGCCTGGCGGAAGTGGGCCAGGTGAGAGGCATGTGTAAGCTAAATGGGCCCTCTGTTCTGTGGGCCGCCTCCAGCCACACCGGCTGCGCTGATGCGCTGTCCATCCTGGCAGCGACCACCTTGCCCTGACCACGTGGGGATGGAGAGGCGCGGAGAAGCAGAGAGCGCAGCAGGGCCTCGGGCCGGGCTGGGGTGCGAGGTGGGATGTGTCTGGGTAGCACCAGGAAGGCGCTGCCCCTGCACACCTCAGAACTCCCACTTTTAGTTTCCCTGGGGTTTGCGTTTGTGGTAGGTACGATAGTGTTCCCCCACAGACGCTGAGGTCCTAATCCCCAAAACCCATGGATACGTCATCTGACGCGGCAAAGGGGATTTTGCAGATGTGATTAGATTAAGGGGGAGGTGATCCTGGATTATCCAGATGGGCCCAATGCCATCACGAGGGTTCTTATAAGTTGAAAGAGAGTCACTGTCAGAGTCTGAGAGGGATTTGAAGACAGAAAAAGAATCTTGAACCAAGGACGTGAGCAGCCTCTGGAGCAGCGGTTCTCAACCTGGGGGTCGCGACCCCTCTGGGGGTCGAACGGCCCTTTCACAGGGGTCGCCTAAGACCATCAGAAAACCCATATCTCCGATGGCGATTCAGAACAGTAGCAAAATGACAGTTATGAAGTAGCAACGAAAATAATTTTACGGTTGGGGGGTCACCACAACACGGGGAACTGATTAAAGCGGCATCAGGAAGGTGGAGAACCACGGCCCTAGAGGCTGGGAAAGGAATGAAAACGTTCTTCTCTAGAAGGAATGAAATCCGGGCACCTTGATTCTAGCTACAAAGATCATCCTGGACTTCTGAACCTCGGAACTGTTAGATGATACATTTATAACGAAAAGGATTGTACCATTCAACCAGCAGAACCCCCTTCATCCTCCTCAACCAACCACAGCACTAACACACCTCCCCAGAGAACTCGGCATCCTTCCTCACTGATCCATCCCCTCCTTCTCCCCCACGACTGGCTAGTAACCAATTCAGTCAACTCTGCCTCAAAAATGCTCCTCCAAATGATTTTCTTCTTTCCTTCTCTGCTGTCACTGTCTGTGCGGACAGCACGACAGAGCAGAGAGATGAGGAGGTTTGGGCACAGAGAGACATGTCGACAACTAGTGGGGAAACCTTGGGTGAGGTGCTGAGCCCTGCTTCTTCCCATGCTGAGTGGTGGTGCTGCGTCCCACCTCACAGGTCGTTAGGTCATTAGGACTTGGATATGTATCAAATCCCAGACATTCGGGGGTCACTCCACCAACAATAGCCTGTCAACTGGTCAGTGCTCATCTGCTGCGTGGATCATGGTAGTAGCACCGGGAGAGGTGCTCCCGCTTCTGCTGCTCCCTCCTCCAGTCTCCTCTGCACATGGCTGCTAGAGTTGTGTCCTGAAATTGTCCCTACCTAGTTCTCATCTGCAATTGCCATGAGCACTTAAAATTTTTCAGGAGGCAACCAAAATGTCTATTGATAGACAAATGGATAAAAAAGATGTGGTACATATATACAGTGGAAAATTACTCAGCCATGAAAAAGAATGGAATGTTGCCATTCGTGACAAAATCGGTAGACCTAGAGGGTATTATGCTGAGTGAAATAAGTCAGGCAAAGAAATACAAAAACCATATAATTTCACTTATATGTGGAATCAACAAAAAAACAAACTAAGCCAGCAAACAAAATGGAAACAAACTCATAGATACAGTAAACAAATTGTTGGTTGCCAGTTAGAAAGGGGGTTGAGGGGATGGGTAAAAAGGGGAAGTATTAAGAAGTACAAATTGGGTGCTGGCCAGTTTGGCTCAGCGGTTAGAGCGTCGGCCTGCAGTTCAAAGAGACCGGGTTTGGTTCCCGCTAAGGGCATGTACCTCGGTTGCAGTTTGTCCCCGGCCCTGGTTGGGTCATGCGTGTGGGAGGCAGCCACTTGATGTGTCCCTTTTATGTTGATGTTTCTCTCTCTCTCTCTTCCTCTCTCTCCCTCCCACTCTATCTGAACAAAAAGTGGAAAAATGTCTTCGGGTGAAGATAAAAAAAAAAGAAGTACAAATTGGTAGTTACAAAATAGTCACGTGGATGTAAAGAACAGCATAGGGAATATATTCAATGACACTGGAATGTACAAATTGGCAGTTACAAAATAGTCACGTGGATGTAAAGAACAGCATAGGGAATATATTCAATGACACTGGAATAACAGTGTCAAATAGGAACTAGACTTATTGAGGTGATCACTTTGTAAGTTATGTAAATGTCTAATCACTACGTTGACACCTGAAACTAGCATATTATTGCATGTCAACTGTAACTGAAAAATAACATTAAAAAATTAATTAAAAATAATTAAAATTTAAAAATATTTTAAAAAATCTTTCAGGACCTCTCCTTCGGCCACTCCCCACTGTCCCAGAGTGACTTTAAATGCCTGAGGTTGGCATTTGTCTTTCTGCAGTCTGGGCAAGTTCTCAGTCCAGCGCCGCTCCCGGCCCCTTCTTGCCTCCCACTCTTCCCGGTGACTCACGCCCGATTTTCACTTCCCCTGTATCTAATGTGTCTTCTTGGTGGCTGTCATTGCTGATGTCCTTTTTCCCCTTGGAAATCCCTTCTCCAGTCCCTGCCTGTCTGCTGGTGACCCTTGACAACCTCTTCAACGTAATAAAATCAACTCTCTAAAACGCTTCTGGCTGGCCAGCCAGTACGGCGGGCTGCTCACGAAGGTCAGCCTCCTTTGCCAAGTCTTGCTCCCCTTCCCAACCAGGTCTGCTTCTTCCCATTGCTCCCGCGGCCCTGTACAGGAACCTGAGTGCCGCGGTGTTCTGTTATCCGTGGTAGTCTCTTCCTGTCTCCCTGCTAGGGTGCTTCGTCCCACAGAGCAGAGATGTCCTGTTTGGTTTGCTCTTTCTTCGCACCCCAGCCCCTGGGTCTTGCACTTGTGTCTGGATCCTCATAGGTGCCAATCAAGTTTATGATCGTTTTTGGAGAGATCTGGGACATAGTCGTTTCGAATCTAGGATTAACTATAATTTCCACACCATTGGACAACACATATAAGGAGGTTGATCGCAGTAATGTGATAGTAGATGCTGGAAACACTCAAATGTCGTGAATTGGAGATTGGGCGAACATACTTGGGTCCATCCGTCACATAGTGAAAAAGTAAAAGACAAGTCACAGATGCTCATGGGAAAGATGTCCCAGATATATTATGACCAGGTCAATAAAAAGTTTGCTTAACAGAGTTCCATTTCTGGGGGTGATTTTCCATAGCCCATGAGTAGGAAAAACATCTAAACTTTTAACAGTGGTTAGTGCTAAGATTGGGCTTTATGGGGGGAAATTTCACTTTCTAAATCACACATTTCTATTATGTTAAAATGTTTACAATATCATTAACTAATAAAACCACAAAAATCATTTTGAAAAAAATTATAAGAGGAATCAATTAGTAGACAACAAATCATGTCAATTAAAACCAAATGCAAGTTCTGGCCAAGTAACTCAGTTGGTGAGACCATCATCCCAATACCCCACAGTTGTAGGTTCAATCCCTGGTCAGGGCACATACAAGAATCAACCAATGGATGTAATAAATAAGTGGAACAACAAATCAATGTTTCTCTATATGTCTCTCTTCCTCTCTCTCTCTCTAAAATATATGCATATTATTTTGTGATTAAAAAATGCAAGAGTCAGCAGATAGGGTCATCTTCCTCCTTCAAAGAGAAATCCAGAGTAGAAAGCAGAGGTTTAATCACAAACAGCAGGCAAAAGACGCTTCGGAACGGAAGCTTCCTCCAGCCCAGCTTTGCTAATTTAATCTGAGAGCAAATCACTCACAGTGGGATTGGGCTCATTTTAAAAAACATGTGGGAAGTTTTTACCAACGCGGATTGCGATGGATGGAACAGTGAATGAGGTCTCTGAATTTTCGAGTTTGTTCGGAGGAAGAGAGGACGCTGTCCGCGAGGAGCAGGGTTTTGGAGAACAGGGCTGATGGGTTTTAAAGGCATCAGGCTGTTAGAATTTCAATTTTTCACGTTCGTGAATCTGAGATGTAAACCTCCTCCTGCATCAATTGTTCAGGAACATTTGCTCCATGTGTGAAATCCTTGTGTGAAGAGTCTTGTCCTCAAATTGAGAAATGACCGAGCTCCATGTCTGGGCTGAGAGCAGGTGACAAATGACACACACAGCAAGGCAAAGCAGTCATGGGGAGAGCTCAGAGCAGAGACGCCCACGGAGCGTGGGCTGCGCAGCGGGTCGCAGCTTGTCTGGCACTCGTGGGTCAGGCCGTCACAACTGACCTCCCCGAGCGGCCGTCCCAGCCCAAGCTCTGAAGTCATTTCTAGGGTAAAGGGCTGTGCTCCTGGCCTTGATGGATCACTTCCCTCACTGGGAGAAGGAGGATCTGTTTCTCCCCTTGCAGGCACTATGAGCACCTACTGTATACCAGTGCCCTACCTTCCTCTCAGGGTTGTCGGGGACTCACACAACTGAGCAGCTAAGACAATATCCTACGGCAAGTTGGGTCATTCTGACTTCACAGCACTCGCTGTCTGTCCTGCACTTCGCGGGGTAACACAGCCCCACAGTGGCTGATGGCAGTCGGCAGTCTGCAGGTGTAAACTTGGCGGGTGGCTTTCCTTCCTCCTTGACTAACTGCAACCCCTTTCAAGTTACCTGGCAGAGCTGTAGAGAGGAGGGGACTCCCCGCGGTGTCTCTATAGACTGTCCCCTCCCCAGCCACAGATCAACTGTGGGGGGGGGTGTGGGAGGGTACCTCTGAGGGAGACTGTGTGTGAGCATGTGTGTGACTGCAGATGTGTCTGAGCTTCTGTGTCTCTTGGCGTCCCTGTGAGTACATGCTCCGTCCTCTTTTTAATGGCCATTCTTATTTCTCTTGTCCCTTCACGTCCTCAGGGCCTGATGCATGCCTGGCACGAAGTAGGACCCCCGTGAGCTTTTTTTTTTTTTATCCTCACCCGAGGATATTTTTCCATTTTTTGTACAGATAGAGTGGGAGGGAGAGAGAGGAAGGGAAAGACAGAGAGAGAAACATCGACGTGAAGGGACACATCAAGCGGCCGCCACCCGCACAACCAACCAGGGCCGGGGACAAACTGCAACCGAAGTACGTGCCCTTAGCGGGAACCGAACCCGGGTCTCTCCGGACCGCAGGCCGACCCTTTAACCGCTGAGCCAAACTGGCCAGGGCCCCCGTGAGCTTTTGTTGAATGAATTAACAAAGCCACCTCTCGTTCTCCCAGACGTGACACTGCCCCCGCCCCCCGCCTTGTACCCGGGACGGATGCTCTGTGCAGCCTGTGCTGCCCCTGCAGGTCTAAGCTCCCGGGCCCCAGCTCCGCTCACCTGCGAGGCTGAGAAGAAGTAGAGCTGAGGGCAGCCACATGGTCCTGCTCCAGGCTCCTCGGCCCTCTGACCTGCAACTGGAGAGCACCCTCGGAGGCTGGCACTCGAAGCTCTGCCTGAGCCCTGGCTGGCACCTTCTGCTTGTCCAGACTGCTTTTGAGTTTCTCTAACTCATCCACTTCCTTTTATAGAGTGAGTGTTTCCTGCTTCTAGTTATTCAACAGGAGTGTCACTTCTTAGTAAGCCTGTGCCAGAGGACACTAGAGTCCCTGCTAAGAGAGAAAGAGGAAGAAAGGGGGTTGTGCAGGCTGAGCAGAGCCAGGGGGCGATATGTCAGCAGAAGAGTCAAGGAGGGGTCACCTGGCCTATTAGGTCCTGGATTCAAGGAGTACAATAGTCTGCATGTCAACTCCAGAAATGACTCTTCACTACAATAATGGGTCCCAAGCAGCATGGAACCCCCCACCCCCTCAGGTGGCAGGTGAGCACGCTTGGCATACCTGGAGATGTATTTGTTCAGATGGGACAGCCAAGTGCGTAAGTGCTGTGAGACCAGACAAGCTATGTGACTGTGGACAACTTACTTATACTTTCTGAGCCTCAGATTTTGCATCTGTAAGTTAGGTTCATAAAAGTTGTTATGATTGGCCCGGCTGGTGTGGCTCAGTGGTTGAGCATCAACTGATGCGCCAAGAGGTCGCCGGTTCGATTCCCGGTCAGGACACATGCTCGGGTTGCGGGCCCAACCCCCAGTGGGGGGCATGCAGAAGGTGGCCAATCGATGTTCTCTCTCATTGATGTTTCTCTCCCTCTCCCTTCCTCTCTCTGTAAAACCAATCAAGAAAAATAAAAATTTTTTAAAAAGTCATTTTGATTGGAACCTGCCTCCATATACCCATAGGGAGAAACAGGGTCATACTTTAAAATGATCCATGGGCCCTGGCCAGTTCAGCTCAACAGTTAGAGTGTCAGCCCGCGGACCAGAGAGTCCCGGGTTCAGTTCCTGCTAAGGACATGTACCTCAGTTGCAGTTTGTCCCCGGCCCCAGTTGGGGTCGTGTGGGTGGCAGCCACTCAATGTGTCTCTCTCACATCAATGTTTCTCTCTCTCTCTCTCTTCCTCCCTCTCTCCCTCTCGCTCTATCTGAAGATGAATGCAAAAATGTCCTTGGGTGAGGATAAACAATAAATAAATAAAATGAAATGATACACTGAAATTCAGTGCAGCACAGGATACAGTAAACTGCGTTTGTTTCTTCCTAGTGCAAAGTGGCCCAACACAGCGGAACTGTCCCCAGATCCAGCCCAGACCTGCAAACAGCATGGTCACACCTGCGCCTGCCCTGCAGGAGGTGGCGGCAGCGGCAGGGCCTGTCAGGGGTCTGGGCGGGGAGGGAGAGGGTAAAGAGGCTGGCGGAGTGTGGAATGGGCAGGTGTGGCTGTCCCCAAACCAGTAAAGGGAGCGGCAGCTGCTCCTGCCGCGGTGCCGGAGCCCCGTTGCACCTGGTGGAAGCCGGGAATCGAACCGGCGACCTCTTGGCACATCAGTTGTCCAGAGAATCAGTCTTGTGGACTTGGACTCCTGCCATGAACCTGCCCAGAGGGTGTGAGCCAGCCGGCGATCTGGTAGAGGGGGTACCAGCAGACGGGGGCGAGGAAACGGTTGCTGTGAGGACGAATGAGAAACATCTGTGCAGTTGTGAGAATGGAACCCCGGGTGGTGGCTGGCACTCTGCGTTATTCATAGACCCGGGCAGAACTCAGACACTTCAGGGAGAACAGCTCGAACCAGTCCAGGGCAGGAGACTGAGAAGAGGCTGGTGAGCTGGGTTTCCTCACTAGTAACAAGACACATTCTATCCTTAATCCGATATAATGTCACTAGGATCCAGACCGGAGAAGCAGGTGAGCGCATTTCTTCCCAGGGGTGCAGAGCCAGCTGCGGGGAGGGGAGCTCTCCCGGGGCCCGAGGCTGTGGTGGCTCGGGCATGCTCAGAAGGGCTGAGGGAAGCCAAAGGGCTTGGTCACGTACCAGGGAATTAGCAAAGGGAGGGAATGAGTCATGGCGATGTTTTCTCTGGAACAGTGGAGCAAGTTTGCTTTAGCACACAAGTTCATACAAGGCATCATATTAACAGGACAAAGGAGGAAATCACACAAGCATCTAAATGGTTGTACACAAGGCATTGTTTAAAATCCGCTACTTTTCATGATAAACTGAGAACAGAAGCGCATCGGGACGCAAGCATTCTGCCAACACGGGGACCAATGGCAAGTCGTGGACACTCTTCCCCTTAAAGGCAGGAGGAGGACAGGGACGCTCGTGATTACCACGTTGATTAAACACTTTGATTAACCCACACAGCACAAGCCAAAGAAACACAGGATATGAGAAAGGAAAAGGAGAAACACATTTTCAGATAGTTGTAGATACATTGATTGTCTGCATATAAAACTGAAAAGATTTAGATTCTAGTAAGCTTACTATATATAGACAAGACTCCATATAGAAAGTTAAAGAATGTTAAAATAAGGTTATAGTATTGAAATATTAAAGTTTACAATAACTTGTTAATAAATATGCAACACAAACAGATATAAACTGTGACATAAAAGGTAGACTTTTGAATGTGACTGAAGTCATGTTGTTATTAACTTAAAATAGACTGTTACACTGATAGGATGTTTCATGTAAGCCTCGTGGTAACCAGAAAGTAAACCTACAGAGACACAGAAAAGATGAAAAGGGAATCCAGGCAGACTACTGCGGAGAATCATCAACTCACAAAGACAGCAAGAGAGGAAGGAAGAAAAAGAGAACTACAAAACAGCCAGAAAGCAACTAATAAGATGGCAAAATAAAGTTATTACCTATCAATAATTACTTTAAATGTAAATGGAATAAATACTCCAATCAAAAGGCACTGAGGAGCTGAATGGATAAAAACAAACCAACCGAACCACCAAACTCCATGCTGCCTACAAGAGGTTCACTTAAGCTTTAAGGACATAGAGGCTTAAAGTGAAGGATGATGGGAAAAAATAGTCCAATAGAAACCAAAGGAGAGCAGAGGTAGCTTCACTTATACCAGACAAAATAGGCTTTAAGTAAAAACTGCCATATACCAGGACCAAGTGGGATTTATCCCTGGGATGCTAGGTGGTTCAACATAAACAAATCAATAAATATGGTACACCACATTAATAGAATAAAAAATAAAAATCATACCCACATTTCAATAGATGCAGAAAAAGCATTTGCAAAATATAACATGCTTTCATGATTAAAAAAAAAAATCAACAAATTGGGTGTATAAGGAATCTACCTCAACATAACAAAAGCCACAAATAACAAGCCCTCACCTAACATTATACCCAGTGTTCAAAGGTTTAAAGCTTTTCCTCTAAGAATAGGAACTCGCTCTTGCTACTTCTATTCAGCACAGTACTGGGAGTCCTTGCCAGAGCAATTACGCAGGAGTTTTGTTAAAGGAATCAAAATAGAAAGGAAGATGTAAAGTTGTCTCTGTTTGCAAACAACGTGATCTTATATATACAGAAAACAAACAGTAAAGTCTAGACAAAAGAACATCTGTTAGAACTAATAAATGAAATTAGTCAAGTTCCAAGATACAAAATCAACATACAAAAATCAGTTGCATTTCTATCCACGAACAATGAACTCTCTGTAAAAAGATATAGAGCAAGCAATTCAATATACAGTAGCACCAAAAACAATAAAATACTTGGGAATAAATTTAACCAAGTAGGTGAAAGATCTGTATACTGCCAACTATGAGACATTGATGAAAGAAAACTTAAGAAGATACAAATTAATGGAAAGATATTTCTTGTTCATGGATCAGAAGAATGAATATCGTTAAAATGTCCATGCTACCCTAAGCCATCTACTTATCCAATTCAATCCCTATAAAAAGGCCAATGACATTTTTCAGAGAAATAAATAATCCTAAAATTTGTGTGGCACCACAAAAGACTTCAAATAGCCAAGTCAATCTTGAAAAAAAAAGAGCAAAGCTGGAGGCATTTCTACTTCCTGAGTTCAAACCATACTACAAATCTATAACAATCAAAACAGTGTGGTACGGGTATGAAAACCTTCACATAGACCAGAACAACAGAACCAGGAGCCTGCAGGAGCCTGCAAACACAGTCGGCTAGGACAGCCTCTTGAAGAAGGGGTGTTGGGAAAGCTGGATAACCACCTCTGCAATAGTAAAACCGGGGCCCTGTCTCACTCCACTCACAGAAATTAAGTTGAAATGGATTAAAGACTTAAAAATAAGATCTGAGCCCAGCGGGTGTGGCTCAGTGGTTGAGCGTCAACACATGCACCAAGAGGTGGCCAGTTCAATTCCCGGTCAGAGCACATGCCCAGGTTGTGGGCCCGATTTCTAGTGGGGGGCACGCAGGAGGCGGCCAATAGATGTTCCCTCTCATCGATGTCTTTATCTCTCTCCCTCTTCTTTCCTCTCTCTCTAAAATCAATAAAGGAAAAGTATTAAAAATAAGATATGAAACTCCTAGAAGAGAACACGGGGGAAAGCTCCTTGCCATTGGTCTTAGCAACAATCTTTGGATATGACCCCAAAAACATAAGCAACAAAAGCCGAAACGAACGAGTGGGACTGGATCAGACGTAAAGCCCTGTGCACAGCAAAAGAAATGATGAATAAAATGTAATGGCAATCTACAGAGTGAGAGGAAATATTTGCAAATCAGATATCAGATAAGGGGTTAATATCCCAAATATGTCAAGAACTCCTACAACTCAATAACAACCCCTCAAAACTCAAACAATTCAATTTGAAAAGTGGGCAGAGGAACTGAACAGTTTTCCAAAGAAGACATATGAATGACCAGCAGATGCCTGAAAAGATGCTCAAAATCACTAATCATCAGGGAGATGCAAATCAAAACCACAGTGAGATATCACCTCACACTTGTTTGAATGGCTATCACCCCAAAGACAAGGTATAACGAGTGTTGGCAAGAATGTGGAGAAAAGGGCACCCTTGTGCCCTGTTGGTAGGGATGCAAATTGGCGCAGCCACGTTGGGAAACAAAGAATATAGAGACTCCACAAAAAATTTAAAAGACAAGTATCATACGATCCAGCCACCCCACTCCTAGAAACAGCCAAGGTATGGAAACGAACTAAGTGTCCATCAACGAAAGAATCAATGGAAAGATGTGGAACATATATACAATGGAATATTATTCAGCCAGCAAGAAGGAAATCCTGCCATTTGTAACAACGTGGATGGATCTCGAGGGATTGTGATAAATGAACTGAGTCAGACTGAGAAAGGAAAAGAGTGTATGATCCCACTTATATGTGGAATCTAAAAATCTGGACTCAGAGAAACAGAGTGGAGTTGTGGTTACCAGGGGTGGGGCGGGGGTAGGCAAAATAGGGAAGTATTGGTCAAAGGGCACAAACTTCAGTTATAAGATAAATTCTGGGGATCTAATGTACAGCATGGTGACTAGAGCTACTAGTACTATATTATATCCTTGCAAGTTGCTAAAAGAATAAATCTTAAATGTTTTCATCACAAAAGAAGTGGCAATTACGTGACATGATGGAGATGTGAGCTAATGCTGTAGCTCTAATCACTGCATTTAAAATAAATACGTGGTCTATCAAATAAAGACATGTGCACCTAAAAATTACACAGTGTGACCTACTGGTGCGGCTCTGTGGCTTGAGCATTGTCCCATGGACGGAGAGGTCCCCATTCAATTCCCCATCAGGGCACATGCCGGGGTTGCCACCTTGATCTCCAGTAGGGGGCGTGCAGGAGGCAGCTGATTGATGTTTCTCTTTCACATCAATGTTTCTATATCTCTAAAAAAAATCAATAAAAACATTTTAAAAATTACATAGCTCTATATGTCAATTATATCTAAATAAAGCTGGAAAAATCAAATAACCTTGCAGACTGTTAAAAACATATGCATGCACCCTGGAAATACATATGAATACATAAGGCAAAACAATGAAGGAAATAAGATGACGAATGTAAAGTTCAGAGCTGGTTCCGTCAGAGGAGATGCTTAGGGCTACAGGAGTATTAATGATGTTTATTTTTAAGCTGCAAGGTGGAGGGTGTTCCCGGCTTAATAAGTGTGCGTTCGTTAGGTATATGTTTTTGTGTGTGTGCGACACATTGCAAGAAAAAACTTTCTAATAAGTTCACAGGGTGTCCTGACAGAAACGTGGACAACGATTTATCAGTCAGAAGGTGATTCCTGCGTTCTCGGGTGAGGCATTGGTGGGAACAGGTGCTACAGGCTGTCATGGGGCCGACTCCACCTCCGCCCGGAGCTCCTCAGAGGCCTGTTCACCCAGACGACAGCGCTGAGCATGCCCAGGAGCAGGGGCACCTTCAGGAAGACCAGGAGCAGGAAGTGGACGCTGCTGAGCAGGGACCTGCGGGGGACACAGTGACACACAGCGAGCCCTTGAGAATTGGGACTGCGGATATAGGGAAAGGCTGCCACTAGAATTATGTGGGACCCAGGGATTCAGGTGAGCCCTGGGCCCAGGAGGAGGATGTGTTCTAAGGCCTCCACATTTGCAGGGCACCCCTTCTGGGGTTTAGGGATCAGTAATGTGGATATAGGCTGGCTCTCTGCTCTCCTGCAGGCTGTGCATACCCTACAAGTAGAGACTGTTCTAGTTTCTTCATCGCAAGTCACTGGTGCCTGGCCAGCGTCTCCAAAATGTTAGCACTTACAGTAATTTAACCCTGGCTGGTTCGGCTCAGCAGTTGGAGCATCAGCCCTCAGACAAAAGATCACCAGTTTGATTCCCGGTCAAGGGTATGTGCCTGGGTTGCAGGTTTGATCCCCAGCCCCGGTCAGGGTTGTTCAGAAGCAGCCAACCGATGTGTCTCTTTCACATCGATGTTTCTCTCTCTCTCTCTCTCTCTCTCTCTCTCTCTCTCCCACTCTCCCTCCCTCCCTCCCTTCCACTCTATCTACAAATCAATGCAAAAATATCCTCGGGTGAGGATTCACAACAACAAAAAGTAACTTAGCGGCCACTGATGGACTGATGGCAGGAAGGAATGACCCCGCTCGGCTCTCACCTCCCTCAGAGGCCTGGGTTCTTGAACAGGATGACACTGTGACCAGAGTTTGGGGGAGGCCACCAACCCCAGAGCTTCTGCTTCCTGTCCTGGCCTGGGTCGGGGTCCACAGGACCTTGTGCTCATCTGCCCTCTGCCTGGAGCCCTGTTTCTGCAGACCCCTGAGTGCCCGGCTCCCCAGATCCTGCGGGCCTTCGTCGGACAGCTCCTAACCAGCGAGGCCTCCCTGGTCACGTGTTCGATAGCAACCCTAACCACCACCCTCCGCAAAGCTCTCCCCAGCACTGTGTTTCCTCCAAGCAGTCCCCATGAGCTGGCGCATCTCCATCATCATACATGCTGATTCGTTCATCACTGAATCTACCCCTTAGACACAACTCCTATCAGGCAGGATGCTGTGTGGGTGGCTCATGCTGCTGGGTACGTAGTAGGACCTTTAGAATCGGGTGTGAGATTGATGAATACAAGAGGGGCCAAGAAAGGAACTAAAGCCCAGCCGGTGTGGCCCAGTGGACTGAGCATCTTCCGATGGACAGAGAGGTCCGGGTTCGATTCCCCGTCAGGGCACAGGCCCAGGTTTCAGGCTCCATCCCCAGTGCAGGGCGTGCAGGAGGCAACCGATCGATGTTTCTCTTTCACGCTGAGGTTTCTGTCTCTCTCCCTTCCTCTCTCTGAAAAAAAAAATCAGTAAACACATATTTTTTTAAAAAAAGAAAGATGCCTGGCCGGTGTGGCTCAGTGGTTGAGCATCGACTCATGCACCAAGAGGTCACTGGTTCGATTCCTGGTCAGGGCACATGCCCAGATTGTGGGCCCGATCCCCAGTGGGGGGGCACGCAGGAGGCGGCCAATCGACGTTCTCTCTCATCCATGTTTCTGTCTTTCTCTCCTTCTCCCTTCCTCTCTCTAAAATCAATAAAGAAAAAATATTTAAAAAAAAAAAAAAAAAAGGAAACGAACTAAAACTTCCTTCCCCCCATCCCCCATCTAGAGGAGAACCCACAGGTGTTAAAGTCCTGGGATGTCGGCCCCTTACCGAGGGTGTTGGCCGTGATCAGGGGTCTCCTGCCCGGTCACATTGAGCCTGGTGGTCACTGGCAGGGAGGAGGGAGGGCCCAGGGTGCTTGTGCAGATCTTCAGGGTGGGGGCTAAGGGAAAAGCACATGTCAGGCCCTGGGTCCTCCCTCTGGGTCTTCCGCTGTGTCAGCTGTGTGACTCAAGGTCAAGGTCACTCAGGCCACCTGGACAGATGTGCTGTGCCCAACATCCCCCCGTGGCCACAGCCAGGCCAGAGCTGCCCCTCAGGCCCTCCCCGGACCCCTGTCAGGAACTCTGGCCTGGTGGGCACGTTCAGACGCCGAGTCGTCCTGCTCAACAGAGGTTTGCGGGGAGAAGAGCATTTGGCTTCAGGTGACACCCCGGCCACAGCCACACCCTTCTGCTCTCCACCCTGCGGGGTGCCGTTTACTCCGTAGCAACTGACCAGAGCTGGGTGGCCAGGGCCCGCAGCACGGCCGAGGGTTCCAGTGAGACTCCCAGGAACAGCCATGCAGCCGTCTGCGCTGAATGACGGCTCCCGGCAGTCCCCTGGGACGTGCTGTGTCTGACCTGCCTGTGTCCAGATTCTTCTGTTGGAAGTCTGATGCCCCGTGGGAAGGAGTTAGGAGGTGCGGCATTTGGAGAGGAGTGGGTCACGAGGAGGGAGCCCTCATCATGGGATTAAAGAGGCCCCTCCGCCGCGTGAGGGCACAGCCAAGTCTGCACCCCGGAGGAGGGCCCTCACCCACAGGCTGGCCCCTGATCTCGGGCGTCCCACCTCAGGAATGGGGAGCAACACATTTCTGCTGTGTGTGAGCTACCAGTGTGTGGCGCGTTGTTACAGCGGCGAATGTGCACCCGCTCCCCAAACCCTCAGCCAGGCCTGTGGTCCCAGGCAGCCACGGGCCGTGCTCTCTGGGGGAGGAAACGAGTCGAAGGAAAGACCGAGAGAGACACACCCGGCGGACCCCTGAAGACACCTGGACAAAGCCCGCCCCTCCCCCAGCCAGAGGTCTCAGTGGGTTTTCGGTTCCCCCCTCTGCAGCAGGAGCACGTGTAGGGCACCCGGGAACCGCCCACGTGAGGACAAGAGACAGAACTGCAAGAGGGAAGTAAGAGGAGCCGGAGCCAAGGGCAGACGAGAACACAGGGGGCGTCCATGCGCTTAGACCGAGGATCCTAACTCGGATCTGAGGAAGCAGAAGCAGCCTCCTGCTCGAGAACAATTGTTCGAGAACATGGAGGAAGGTTCGGGGCCGTAACGACTGAGGCCACTTTGTCATCTTTCTTCTCCTTTGGCTAAGGGAGGTATTTGCAAGGGTTTGTCTAGGTTCAGAGAAAGGGGGGGGGACAGGGCCAGGCTGAAGGGACAGGGTGGCCCCCAAAACATCACAGGAACCCCACACAGGGACCTGGGGCTCCTCTGGGCCCCTCTCACGGCTGCTGCAGACCCCAGGGCCCTGGCTGTGAGGCTGGTGCCTCAGGAACCATCCACATGATGTCCTTCCCACAGGGAGAGACGTGGGGTCCCTTTCAGAGGGGACACGGCTCTTGTGAGGACAGGAAGGCAGCATGTCCCCAGAGTCAGGCCGCCTCACCCTGCCCCACCCAGGGAACACCAGGCCTGAGACTGTGTCAGGACATGACGCACAGAGGAGCCTGGAACAGCCAGAGGGGTGTGTGTGTGTGTGAGTGTGTGTACACGCACGTGCAGAAGCACAACACCCACACACACTGTCCCGATCACTGATCCCCAACTCACCCAATGACCCATGGGGTGGTTAGGTACAGACCGAGCCACCTGCAGCAGGGACGAGGGGAGGGTGTAGGCGGCTCACCTGGGGACACAGATACCACAACCGAGAAGCTGAGGTCCGCAAGCCTTTCGCGCTGTGGTCTCTGGATCCCACACCAGTACGTGCCTGCATCGCCCTCGCTGAGGTTCCCCAAGGTCACTGTGAAGGTGAGGTTTTCTGGGTGGTCCCTGAGGGACACACGGCCGCTCCTCACTGCTCTCTGTGTCTCTGTGGTCTCCACCATCATCTTCATCAGCGACTTACATGGGCTTTTGCACCAGTATTTCTTCATGTCTGTGAACTTGCCCTTGTACCGACACTGCACGCTCAGGGAGCCCCCCACGGTGCCCGTCACCCGGCGAGTGCAGTTCAGAGACAAACAGCCTGCAAGACAGCCCAGACCCGCCCCTTACAGATGGGCCAGGGTCAGGGCGCCTGGGGTGCCTCAAGGGCCCTAGGGGTCTGAAGGCCACGCAGGAGACAGAACTTTCCTCAGATTAGGCGAGGGGGTGGGGGGAGCTCCCTCCTCCCAGAGGTGACACAGGGAGAGGGTGCCCACGGAGACAAGGAGGGTCACGATGGGAACAAACTTTGTGTGCACGCGTGTGTGTATGTGTGTGTGTGCACACGCACGTGTGGGTGTGCGTGATATTCCAAGACCACCCCTCTGACTGTGACAGTTAAGGCGATAATCACAGGCCCTCCCTCGCCAGCGCTGCTCTGCCCAGCACAGGGGACGAGGCTCACTGCTTAGTGTACTGAACGCCTGTGGTGGCTGCGGAGGCAGGTGCTGGCCCTCCTGGACGCTCCTCTGCCTCCCCTCCCTCCCTCCCATGTCCTTCCTCCCTCCTCTGGGCCGCTCCTCACCCCGGGTCCTTCCCGGCTCACCTGAGACCTGGAGGAGGAAGAGAACCAAAGGCAGCCATGTGGCCCCATCCCCCGGGGACATTTCTCCAGCACAGACGCAACCTGCAGCAGCTCACTGCTTTTCTGGGCCCCTCGGCTTCCTTGTCCAGCCTGATTCTGAGGTCAGGGCTGGCGCTGGTCACGGTGCAGGAACAGGGTCAGAAGGGCACAGGCTGCTGCAGACCCCGGCTCTCGGTGCCCTTGGCTTCTCTCAACCGCAGTGACTGCGCGGGGCCGACAGCTCTCAGTGAGGACGCGGTCGCCTTCTCAGGGCGCACAGCTGCTCCTCTCGTGGCCACACGTGTCTCTGTGATATGTCACTTCCCGTGGTCGGGATAGATCGCCCTGGGGATGAAGGCCAGACCTTTGCATCCTCTCTGGCTTTGGTGCTGACCACAGAGGTGTTATGACCCCCCCCCCCCGCCATGTAACTCCAGGCGCCCATGGAAAGCTCCGACCCTGTGGGGCCCCCAATTCTTCTTCCCACATAGGAGACCGCGGCCTCCCTTCTGTGCGTGTCCCTGCTCTGCAGACACGGGGAGCAGCCGTCACCAACACTCTGAGTACTTCACTCTTTACTCTTCTTCTTCTGAAGGTCAGCTCCACGGCGAGTCAGGACAGAGGTGACAATACACAAGGAGCGTTCAGAGATGTGGAGATGCCGAAGGGAAAGCCGGAGACCCTGCGGAGCTAAGACTGAGCCTCTCCTCGCCATCCAACGGCGTGGAGGGCGCAGTCTTCCCCAAGTCGCTGGCTGCTGGTGTCCCTTCGGGGTCCACGGGGAGGGCCAGGGGCCTCTTCGAGGTGCAGAGACGGGGCTGCCTTCCCAGGAGGTGCAGCGGCAGCTCTGTCCTAACTCAGACAGGCTTGTTCTCGTGACAGGATGGCCTTAGGGCCACTTTACCCTGGACACTGCAGGGAGGGGGGTCAAGGTGCAGGGCCTATTTTAACGTCTCTCCTGGGTTATGCTGGCTTCTCGAACTTGTTATGCACAATCCAGGTCTATCCATTTCCCCCTAAACGCTCTCTGCCCAGATCTGTTCCTCTTCTACACTATCTTATCACAGTCAAAAGCAATCATAACCCCAGAGTTGATGCAACCCAAATGCTGTAATACGGGATTCTTCTCGCCCCCCCCCCCATCAATCCTTACTCTAAGTCTCTCCAATCTTCTCTTTCCCCTCCTTTTCTCTGCCACTACAGGAGTCCTCTGTCTTCTCAACAGTACGGTGACGTCCTCTTTCCTAATGCCCCTAATGCCCTTTCTCTCTCCCCTCTAAGCATCAGCCAGAGTGAACAGAAGTCATTAACAGTATCACTCTCCGCTGTGCGCCATTCCAGTAAGACCCCCTCTCCTTCCACCATTGGGTTTCTGTTTCATTTCTCCCTGGACGACCCAGTGCCCAACTACAGGATGTGACACGTGGTCAGCCAATGATACATATTTGCTGGATTTGGCTTGAGGTGAATGAATGGCCGAGTGACTGGTTGAGGATTGAATTGGCTGCAGAGACTGGCCCCAGGCAAGTGCGGTCCCACTGTAGTAGATGTCCATCTGCGTAACAAAGTCCCCCAAACTTAGCGGCTGACAACATTTACTGTCTCACACTTCCTGAGCGCTAACTATCTGAGTGCTTGTCCGGGTGGTTCTGACTCCAGGCGTCTCGTTCACAAAGTTGTGGTCAGGAGGTTGGCCAGGGCTGCACTCCTCTGAAGGTTGGGCTGGGGGTGCAGGGTGTTTCCAAGACAGAGCCTCACCCGGCTCGACAAGAGGCCTCAGCTCTTTGCTAAGGAGAGCTGATTGATGTGGCAACCAGCTTCTCCCACGGTGACGGACCCCGAGGGAGAAGACATAGTACAGCTCACGACCTGTCCCTGGAAGTCACAGGCCATCGCTTCTGAGGCACCCACCCTGAGGCAATGTGGGAGGGACTCACACAGGGGTGTGCATATCTGATCTGGGTGGCGGCTACACAAGAATATTCACTTCCTATGTATTTATGATCGGTATGACCTTCTGTTTGTATGTGTCAAGGATGGTCATCGGCACCAAGTCAACACCAACAAGAATCCCCAGTTTGAGTGAAGAAGGAAACTTTATCCAGTGCAAAACAGCTCAACTGTGATACAGCACACTGTGACAACACAGCTGCGGCACAGCTCTGGGGCCAGCGGCCCTGAGTCCAGTCTCCTCTGCTCCTTCGTGGTCTGCTCTGCTCCATGCCAGCCTGCTTTGCACTCCGCTGGTCTCTCTGCTTGCCAGGGAGCCAGGGAGCCAGGGAGCCACAGCCCCCCTCTTTGGTGGAAAGGGAAAGTGTGCTCCCCAAGCCAGAGGGGAGCTGGTTTATATGGACAGAAGTCCCTGCCCCTGGTCCCTGATTGTTCCATCCTCATGAAAATGAGGGCTTTGACTCCTCACAGTTTGATTGAACCAAAAGACACTATCCTGATTGGTCAGAACAGAGCCACTCTGATTGGTCAGAGCTGTGCCACTCTGACTGGATGGGGAAAGCCTCAATCCTATTGGGTGAGAGTGTTTCAGAAAGCCTTTATAAGGGCTGGCTCAGCCAGCAGGAACACAGCAGGCAGGCAGGTCAGTGCCGAGGCCCGCAGCACAGACTTCTCTGTAAAGTGTAATTTGCGTGAAAGACCTCTGTGCAGAAATGGCTGCGAGGCTCCGCTTGTTAAAAAGTTTGAGCCCAGTTAGCCACCAGGAGTCTTTCTTAGTAGGTGTTCCTTTTCTCCCTGCTTCAGAGTTCACATACTTCAATAAAAGAATGTTTTTTGTGTTTTTTTGTTTTGTTTTGTTTTTTGATATTTTGTTCAGATAGAGTGGGAGAGAGAGAGAGAGAGAGAAACATCGACGTGAAAGGGACACATCGAGTGGTTGCCACCCTCATGACCCAACCAGGGCCGGGGACAAACTGCAACCGAGGTACGTGCCTTTAGCGGGAACCGAACCTGGGTCTCTCTGGACCGTAGGCTGACGCTCTAACTGCTGAGCCAAACCGGCCAGGGCCAATAAAAGAATTTTTAAAACCCAATCATGAAAGTATACCTCTGGAAGTTTGATTGATTTTTTTTTATCATTTATTGGTCTTTTTTTTCACATAGCAAAGAGTTTATATATGTGTGTGTGTGTGTGTGTGTGTGTGTGTATTATATATATATCTTCTCCTTCCAACTACCTTGCCATCAGATCAGAGGACAAACAAACTGACCAGAAGTGTGGTATAAGTGATGGTGTCAGGATCTGAACCCAGAATTCTCTGGCACAACTGCCCCAGTGTCTTTGCACCATGACTCGGAGGGGAGAGAGTGGCCAATGAACCACAATCCTCAGGCCCAGGAGACAGAATGAGAGGGTTTGTTGGGCAGCTGGGCCGTGGTAAGCCAACCTGAGAAACCTGACCGGGAGTCACTGTTTGCTAAGTCCTCCGCACGCACCACCCTCTTCCTCCTCTCTTACTTCCCCCATGCTCTTCCCTTTCAGAAAACGCTTCTGAACGAAACACGGTGTCTGCCGGCTCCTGGCTGTGCCGATAGGTGGGAAGATCCAACAGCTGGACAGAGCACAAGCAACAGTAACTTGGGGACATGCATTTGACTTTAGGTTTGAGTATGTGTTGTACTTGTTAATTTCATGTGTCAACCTGACTGGCCTTGGTGCCCAGGTTAGACGTCATTTGGGCTGTGTCCTATGAGAGTGTTCTCGGATGATCTTAGCATTTGAATTGGTAGACTCGGTAAAGTAGGTTGCCCTGCCCAATGTGGGCGGGCATCATCCAATCCCCTGAGGGCCTCAGTAGAATGACAGGCGGAGGAAGGAGGAACTCACCCCTTCCTGTCTGATTGCTGCAGCTGGGACATCCATCTTTTCCTGTCCCTGGCCTTCCTGGTTCTCAGACCTTCAAACTCGGGCTGAATTGCACCACCGGCTTTCCTGGGTTTCTAGCTTGCAGACAGTGGATGGAGGTATTCCTCAGCCTCCGCAAATGATAAATAATTGGCTCATTTCATATGTGTATATTGGTTCCTATTGGTTCTATTTCTCTAGAGAACCCTGACTAATACTCACCCGTATGGGACCCTATGGAAATTTACTTCATCAAATCTCAAGGCTGCAGGTGAGGACCTAACTCAAGACGATCCCTGTGAGGACTCAACGTACAAACACCCGAACCTCACCAGCTCGAACCTGTTCTCACCTGCAGAGTGACCTTCCCACAAACATTTCCCGGAGATGATAAACAGTTGGAGTTCAAGAGGCTGCCGGAGAGAGGCACAGAGTAAAAAGCCTAAGAAGTCAGTACGCTGAGCAGTAAACAGCAAGGCAGCCATCCGCAGAGCGGATTGGGTCTCTCCTTTCGAGGGATACGACAGCTAAGCAAAGACAGAGTCAAAGCCGAATGTCATCGCCTGTCCTTGGGCTGCAATCAGAAGTGTTTGCCTTATTCCTCTCTGGCTCGTAGGGTCTCTCTGAGGTCCAGAGAGGCCTGGGCCACTTTTATTTTTGTCTTGTTTATTTTTTTGACAGTGATTTATTTATTAATTATTTAAAATGCATTCTTTCTTTTTCAATTACAGTTGGCATCCAATGTTATATTTATATATCTTAATGAAGTGATCACCCCGATATGTCTAGTACCCATCTTACACCACACACATTGTTCACTTTTATTTTTGAAGCTCTCAGTATCTTGAAAAAAGAGAGATGTTGCAATAGGGTCAGAGAAATTGTGGTATATTTTAAATGTATAAAGTTCACGAATCAACTTTTTGACACACAAATAGTCATAAAGAATAATTAATCAGACTATGAGAAGATGATGATTGCATTAAAATTTTAACTTACTGGTGGTTTGGTAGGAATAAAACGCATGTATACATACATAGCATAAACATTTCTATCAACACAGCCTTGTGATTATATAGATAATTCAATGGAAAGATCATGCTAAAGGCTAATTTTGAGGCTGCTCATGGGATGCAGGCCAGGGCCAAACTGCACTTTCCCAGGGCACTGCAAGATGGACCCCGCCCCCCGCCCCACTTCCCGCCCGTCTCTCCTTGCTCCTGAACCTCGGCTCCTTGTTTCTCATCCCACAGCTCAGACCCTTCCTGGCACTGACCATAGTTTTTTTAAAGACTAGTCCCTTTCTTCATGAGGGAATGAGAAGCATGGCTGTCACCAAAGTAAGTTCCAAACTGGCTGGACATGTTCATTGAGGGCATTGGGTCTCTCCACCTCTTCCAGGGAGTAAGAAACCCAGAAGACCCAATGGGTGCTGCTTCTCAATAAGTCTGAAGCCTTGGACTGGAATCGGATGTGTCTTAGTCTCTGGGGTCTTGCTCCATCCCCCTCCCCTGGGTTCAGTCTTTAGAGACTCGATCTACTCCAGTCTGAACTGATTGCTGGATTCCAGACCCCTGGTTGTACCTTGAGCCCTGGCCCCTGGCCCCCTGAATGTCTGAGTCCCCATCGGGTTGGCCCCAAGGGGGACAAGGTGGTCCCTACTCAGATAGCCCAGGCTGATGAGCAGGATGGGGCTGGGGAGTGGACTCAGCCTGGAGGAAAGGCCAGTGGAAAACAGTGAGTCAGGATATTGGGCTCAGCCAGAAAGGACCCAGCAGCTGAGAAGCAATCCTGTTGGAGAAGAACCCTTGCTAGGTCCATGAAGATGTCTACAGTGAAGCTTTGCCAATGCCCACTAGCGCCATCTGTTGGTGATTTTAAGAACTGCCGCAAGCATGCTCTGGTTTTTACCTTCGTTCTTACCCACGAGGTTGGGAAATAGAAATGCTTCTGTCCTTGAGTATCAGGCTTCGACGCCAATCCTCCAGCTCCCTCAAGGGCTAGACCTCGAGGAAAGGCTCCAGCACCTTGGAGGAGATATCTTTGGTCTTGCGTGAGATAGATTTGAGCTCAGCTTTGAACTTCTTTGCAAAAATAAAAATCACAGAGAGAGAAATAAGGCAAGTCCTCTAAAGAGGTACCACCCAATGGCATGCAGAAGGCAGCCAATCGATGTTCTCTCTCATCGATGTTTCTATCTCTCTCCCTCTCCCTTCCTCTGTCTCTGAAAATCAATAAAGGAAAAAAAAAGATGTATCACTCAAGGCCGGGGCCGAAGAACGCCGGACGCAGGGGGCACTGGACGCAGGGGACACCGGACGCAGGGGGCACCGGACGCAGGGGGCACTGGGGCATCAGGGAGGAGACCATCTGGCGTGGCCGAGTGAAAAGCTTTGAGTGCGAACATCCAGCTGGAACTCCGTGGGCTTTGCCTCCTGATTCTGGAGCTGGAGCAATGCTGAATGTGCGGGTACTTCTAGGGTACCTGGGTATGGAATTGGGAAGGCACAGACAGGACCCTGGGGCTCCCCCTCCTCTCCTGCCCACCCCCTGCTCCAGCTCTCCAGGGTGAGGGTCTGGGCTGGACCTCCCTCCCCAGCAAGCCTCCTGCCTAACGTGCTGGGCGGGAGAGAAGGGTCCCCACAAGGTATATTGCATCTCCATGGATGTACCCCGTGGCCACACCCCAGATCCATGGCTGCATAACCGATATGGTTATTCTTAGGATCTGACAGAGCCCTCACATTGGCCCGATAACCTGTGAAGTAAAAGACGCTCTGGTGGTAGAAATGTCCTGGCCTGTGCTGTTTCCCATGAAGACAGCGAGCTATAAGCAATGCCACGTTCTGAGTACAAGGAGAGATCAGTGCTCCAACTCCAAGATGTAAGGGTGCATCTAATTATCTCTTCTAATTACTGTCCATTAATTATTACCACTAATTATTACTCTACCATTAATCATGTGGGTTTTTTTTTTATTATTTCTATTTTATGAGGCTTTAACATATTGGGGCTTTGTGGACCGAGGGAGAGACGGCCCCTCCCAGGTTAGGTAATTCCTCAAGATAGTAAAAGACTTGCCTGAGAGCCTGCCTTTGATATGCGAACCAACCAATCCCAAATCCTGCTCCCGTTTATCTACTTTCCCCTGCAGTCTTGGACATTCTCCCCCTGCCCTAAATCCGTCCAGGGCCCAGTATCTCATTACTAGGGACCACTTCTATAGCCCAGAGCCTGCCAAAGGCATTCAAACTATTCAGTCGTAAACCTGGTTGGTTGTTTACTTTGCTTCGCCCATTCCTTCCCACAAAGAAACACAAGAACGGCCCCTGCCCTCCGTTCCCCTCCCTGCCTCTGCCTCCTGCTGGACCCTGGGGGTCCTGGGGCTCCTGGGGCTCCCTCTCATGGCTCCGCATGGTAGGCTTGATGAGTGTAAACTTCTTCTTTCTGAAGTCATTCCCATGTCTGCATGTCTTACCACCCCCTTTTCAAACAAATCCTGGGTACATTTGGAAACATCTACATGATTCACTAATCGACTCCTGACAAACTCAGGCGAGTCCTGTCATGTCACAGTGCACCATCTTCAACCTGGCCAACTGGTAGCCAATCACAGTTGTTTTTCTTTCTCTCTCTCTCTTTTTTTTGTTTAAAAATGTTTTTATTGATTTTTTAGAGAGAGAGGAGGGAGAGAGATAGAAACATCAATCGGCTCTGCCTCTTGCACGCCCCCCACTGGGGATCGAACCTGCAACCCGGGCATGTGCCCCGACCAGGAATCGAACCGGGGCCTCTGAGTCCATGGGATGACGCTCAATCCACTGAGGCACACGGGCCGGGCACAATTGTTTGTCTTGCTGTACTGTCTTTATGAGAACAGCCTCTGCTGCTGGGTGTGCTGCTACTGACGTGGCAAGTGCATTCTTTCCATCCCTTAGCGGAGGAAGGTCAGAAGGGGTTCCAATTGACTCGGGAAGATAACGGTGCGTATCCCTAGTCAGCCCAGGAGCGCGGCCCTTCCCTCTGCCACCGCGGTGGGAGGGGGCTCCGATCGGACGCCCCGGGAACGTCACCCAGTTCACTCCAGTGCTGGTTGGAAGAGCAGGGGGAAGCAAGAATTCCAGATGCCCTGAGAAGGCACATCTGCACCAGAAGTAAAGAGAAACCCTACAAAGTTTCAGGGGACTATGTCAGGTTCAATTGTTAGGTGTCCACGGTCTGGAATGAGTTCATCTTGAGTCTCGAACCTCTAAAAAAAAAAAAGCACTCTGCTTGGTGGGCCTCTTTGAATTTGGGGGCCGGCACACTCCACACATGGGCGTATGGCTCTGACTCAGTGGGGGACCCGACAAGCTGCCATGTGTGAGTGGGGCCCACGCGGGAGAGGCCTCTCCAGCGGACCCAAGCTGGGTCAAAGTGGCCCTGTCATTTGGGCCATGGGACCTGGTTGTTTCTACAGTGCTAGAAGTCTCTGGGGAAGACAAGGGTGCCACGTGGCATCTCTCAAGCCCCGTGGTAGACACGTACTTCAGAGCCCCAGGATTCTGGAGCAGGGACACCCCCTGTGCAGCAGGGAGCGCTCACCGTGCGCATGGACTCCTGACTCACTGCTGTGCCGAAGTCCAGGCGAGAGGCCCGATCCCTTGCAATGTGGCCAACATGACATCACCCAGGCCGTGACGGCAGCGCCAGTCACATCGTCACTGTGTGTCCTGTGCTGCTCCCTTCGCTCTCACGCCTATGGCCGTGCAGGAAGCTCCCTGTAATCGCTGGTGAGGAGGGGAAATCCGATTGTTTATGGACGGGTGAGCCTGAAGCAGTAGGATTTCCTTTATGCAAGATTCAGAAACAGCGGTGCCCTGATCAGCGCACAAACGACCGGCACAAAACGTCACGGAGTGCTTGGCCCTGGCAGGAGGAGAAGGAGGGGCTGGGGGCCCGGGAGACGTGTGTCAAATGTCTTAACGACGTTCGATTTGGAGGCTGAATGGTGGGCACTCAGATGTTCGTTTTCAGTCCTGCAACTGTTCACATACATTATATACCCACGTTTGTGCAGGTGATATATGCCATTAAAATACTTTTTTAAATTTGTTTTTAAAGTCTGTGGCAATATGTTGAAAAGGGATGTAAGGCTGAGGGTCGAGGTTCTGTCATCTCTGGTCTGAGTGGCTGTGCCTCTGGACAGGACATCGGTGGGCAAGGACGGCAGCAGGTGGCCTTAGTCTGACTTTGTTTCTTCACAGATGAGCCCGCTGAGGCCTGTTCACCCAGAGGACAGCACTGAGCATGCCCAGAAGCAGGGGGACCTTCAGGAAAATGAGGAGCAGGAAGTGGACGCTGCTGAGCAGGGACCTGGGAGAGGGACACAGTGACTGGCAGTGAGTTTCTCCTCAATGGGAAGCCCAGGCTCCCCCTTCCGCTGAGCTCAGGTCCTGTGACCTCAAAGCTCAACATCGGCCCAGGGCCAGAGCCCCATGCTGAGGACCACAGACTCCTGGCCTTCGTCTAGTCCAAGAATGGACTTCGCGTGTCGGGACACAGCAGGTGCGTGAGGATGTGGGGTGAGAAATGGAGGGGAAGACAGATGCAGGATCCCAGGCCGGTGTTGGCTCCCAGAAATGCCCTCAGCCATCAACGCCCACAAGAACCCAGCTCTTGCTGGGACCAACTTGAAATAACCGCTCCACACTCAAATCAAAGCCTTGGCTTGTCCTTAAGGACAATCATGGAGCAGATCTGCTTACACCATCCGACAATGTCTACCCCAAGGAGTGACCTCCCCAAGCTTGGCTCTCAGCCAATGCCCTCACCTCCTGGGTCCAGTACACTGCCCATCCCAGCTCCTCGCAAATCTAGCAAACCCTGTGGGTGCCCTGCCCCGTCTCCTCGTTGCCCACTTGAGCCCCTGGGAGCTACAGACAGTCTTGGACCTGCCCGTGGCTTCTCACCCCCGCCCCTGCCCCTCTGTGCCTGAGGAGTCTCCCTCGCTGCAGGAGGGCGCAGGGCTGGCTGAAGTGCCATCTTCCTCGGCCGCGAGGACAGGTGTGTGGCCACCACCCAGCTCCCTCACCGCTCAGTGGGACAGTTCTGAGGAATGTCCTACACAGTCGCTCCAAGAGTGTCTAGGGAACTGAGCCGGTCGCTATAGTAACTCTTCCATCGGTCACACCCCATTGGCCTCCCTGCCTCCTGCTCCCTCACTAGACTTCCCGGGATCACCTCTCCGTGAGCGGACTCCACCCGCATGCTTGTCTCGGGATCTGAGTGGGAGGAGATCCAAACGCAGACTGTTTCTTTGTTACTTGTTTTCACGGAGCCTGTCAGTAGCCTTCCCCATGCCCATCACCTCCCCCACACACCCTACCACCCTGTCCTTGAATACCTACCTGCTTCATTTTCTTCCACAGTGATCATCGTGAATGACAGTTCCTCTGTCTAGCTCTGCGTCTAGCTCCCTGCTATCTATCTACTTGTCCATCTGGCCATTGCCTGAGTCTACCCATTTGAAAGAAACGTCTCGCACGCATGGCCTCGCCCTTCGTTGACCGCCACCTCCTTCGCGGTGGGGTCACGTCCTAGCGCAGAGAAGGTAAGGACATGTTTGTGGAGTGAGGGACTGCCTGAGGACACCGAGGGAGCCCTACCCTAGGGAAGAGCCGCGCGGGTGGTAGAGGCCCCTGGGCGCGTGCCCCTTACCCGGGGTCTCGGCCGGGAGGTCCAGGGGTCCTTGCGGAGCTCTCGCTGCTGGAGGCTGCGGAGGAGGCTGATGGTGAGGACCAGGACCAGTTCCCTGTCCATGACAGAGTGAGAGAACTCAGGGAAAGGGCTGAGCGGAGGTTCTGAGACCATCATCTCCCCACAGCACACCCAGGCCTGACCAGAGTAGAGGAGTCATCCCGTCCACCCCAGTCCCGGTGTGCTCTATGGCAGAGTGGACACTTTATGAACCAGGACATCAAGCATTTAGGCGTTCCTCGTCTCCCTGAAAACAGGGGTGCTTGAAGGTCCGATCAAGCGTTAGACCTCGGGTTCCACTTCCCCAACCAGTGCGCCCACATATCACCCCCTGCCCCCTGGCAGAACACTGTGGAGGGGGAGTCAGGGAAGTTTGAGAGCAGGGACACCTCACACAGCTGTTGGCTGGAAAATGCTACCAGCCCCAAAGAACTGGAATCTGCATTCTGGAAAAGTGGGACCCCAGCCCCCTCAGCCCACCAGCTTCTCAGACATGGGCAATTTCACCGGTACGCTCTCAGGCGGGAGACAAGAGTGCTCACGGGTCAGTGTTCATCTCGGAGGGGAACCTCCAGACGCAGACACTTACTGACCTGGAAGGAGAGAGCTGAACCCCTGGGTGGTCACCTAAAGGCGGGTCTCCTCCTCTGGCCCCCAGGAGCCTCTCCCTCACCACTGAGCTCACAACCAGTTTCTTAGGGCTGCATTCGTATGTGTACTTAGACAAAACCTTCAAGGAAAGCCTCCAACATGAACGAGAGAAACCAACACAGAGAAAAAAGCTCAGAGGAAGATGAGACAATACAGGAAGCAGCAGAAAAAAACAACAGCCTTAGATTGATCAAGGAAGAGGCAGCTCTCATGAAAGAATAAAGCCAAGAAAGACAGGAAGGAAGGAAGGAAGGAAGGAAGGAAGGAAGGAAGGAAGGGAGGGAGGGAGGGAGGGAGGGAGGGAGGGAGGGAGGGAGGGAGGGAGGGAGGGAGGAAAGGAGGGAGGAAGGGAAAGAGGAAGGGAGGGAGGGAAGAAGGAAGAAAGGGAACGAGGGAGGGAGGGAGGGAGAGTCCGTCCAGTGTGGCTCAGTGGTTGAGCATCGACCCCTGCACCAAGAGGTCGCCAGTTCGATTCCCAGTCAGGGCACATGCCCAGGTTGTGGGCCCGACCCCAGTGCGGGGCGTGCAGGAGGCAGCCAGTCAATGTTCTCTCTCATCGATGTTTCTATCTCTCCCTCTCCCTTCCTCTCTCTCTAAAAATCCATAAAGGAAAAAAACCAAAACAAAGAAAGGGATAATTAAAAGATCAAGAAACAATTTGAACAGATAATGTGTTGGAGGTACCCCATCTCTCTTCTGCCTTCTCAGGTCCAGGGGTTCGCTGGACTCTCTCCCGCCTCGTCAAGCGTGTCAGAGGGAGCAGGAACAGGAGCAGGGGGAAGCCAGACAACGCCAGGCAGGCAGAGGCCAGGCAGAGGGTTGAGGGCTTTCCCAGGGGCCTTCCGCGGCCCGCAAACAAACCCGAACCAGGGCCAGGGCTCCAGATGGCGGGTTTCCCTGGGGCCGGCACATGGATCAGAGGCTGAGGAAAGACAGAGACGGTGCTCGAGAGGCCCGGGGAAGAGGCGGGGCTGGCTTCGGGTTCCTGGAGCAGGGCTCATCAGCCAGCGGGATGAGGTTGGCTGTCCGGGCCACCCCGACCTTGGGCCATCTTTGGGTTCCTCTCCTGACCCTGGGTGAGGCTGTGGGCCCTGGGGTCGTTGAGAGGTCTTAATCCCGAGAAGTCAAGCCAAGGGAAAGTGAAAAGGGGATCCCTTTGGAGTAGACCCCCAAGCCCCACACACAACCCTGTGAAGACAGGAAGGTAGCACGCACCCTTAGCCCTGATGGATCCGAGGACACAGGGCCCTCCCACCTACACCCTGAGTCCCACAGACATTGGCAGGACCTGGGAGGTGGCAGGGAACTTGGCTGTGACGCACTCACACACACACACACACACACACACTGGCATTTCGACTCACCCACATTTTCACACACACTTTGCTCACACACACCCTCACACTTTCACACACATTCCCACGACACACTTGGACCTGAATCTCTGATGCACAAACACCAGGCCCAGTTCCCTCTCCTGAGCCGACGTTGCCTGGGACGCTCTGCAGAGATTAGCTCAGATTCCTGCATCGCTGGCACCAGAGGAAGGAGGGTCTTACCTGGGGTAACAAGCACTTGCACCTGGACAAAGGGTTCAGGCAAGAAGCCAGAAATCCCATCATCCAGCAGTAACGTGGAAATCCCACACCTGTATTTTCCTGCATCACTTGCCGTGAGGTTCCTCAAGGTCACTGTGAAGGTGAGGCTTCCGGGTTGGTCCGCGATGGACACTCGGCCGCTCCTCACCTCTCCCCTGGAGGCGCTGGTCTTCACCACCTCCGAGAAGATTGGCAGGCACGGTTGTCTGCACCAGTACTTGACAAACGCCTCATATTCCTTGCTGTACCGACACTGCACACTCAGGGACCCGCCCACGGGGCCCGCCACCTCACTGGGGCCGCTCAGAGACCAAGAGCCTGCAAGACACAATCAGGCTTGTCTTCCCCAAGAACCTGAGCCAGAGGGACCTTTGGTGTCAGGTCTTCTGCAAGTCACCCTGAGGCTGGAGGAAGAAAGGGTCAGGACCCAGCGAGGCCAAGGATGCTGCTAAATAAACACCCTACAGTGCCCAGGACAGCATCCACACACAGAACGATCCAGCCTCAACGTCAACAGTGCTGAGGTCGAGGAACCTTCTGGAGCCCACGGTGCAGAGCCCCCCGAGCCCCGAAACAGCCCAGACTGCTCGGGGTGCGTCAGTGCGGCGGGCACACAAGCAGCTGTTCACAAGGAGGCTCAGCAGTGATCGACATTATACTAGATAAAGAGCAATGACCTTGGAAGGGAAAGTATTTCCAGTGAAATCTCGGCTATGTCCTTCAGGAATGGAGCTCGAGTAAATCACCCGTCTGGGTCGCAGTCTCTCGTTTTGGTCTGGACTGCAGTGCGGACCAGACATTGGGGGACCCAGGCACCACAGCAGTTCACCTAAGAGTGCTGGTCCTCCGCTCCCCGCCCTCCTCTCTCTGGAGCATTCTTGATCGTAGCAATGACGGTAATAACGGTTAAAACGGTTAGATTTACCGTGGGCTCTACATGTGCTCATGGTGTGGAAGGCATTTCCACTTAATCCTCATCCTATCCCAGTGAGGACGTGGGGTGCACTGGGGTTTTGTGTGCACACCTTACCCCTTTGGGCTTATGTTTTTGTTTCTCCCCCTTCCCATCACCACCTTTTCTCTCCCTGACTGCCAGAGCGGACTTTCTGCCCCCAGGTCCAGCCCCGCTCACCTGGGACACAGAGAAGCAGCAGAGCTGATGGCAGCCACATGGCCCGTCCCTCTGGGTGACCTTTCTCGCTGTAGCCGGCCTGGGGCTGCAGGCTGCTCCCCCTCCCCCTCCTCTGCTTTCCCCAGCACGTCTCTGCTTCTTGTCCGGCTTCCGCTGCTTGCTGTTCTGAGAGCTGGTCTGAGAACATGGGAAGCTAGGGCTTGGGACATCATCTGATCAGCGAAAACCAGGGCTGAAAATTTGAATTTACAGTTCCCGTTTCTCTTCCCTAACAAAAGAGCACCCCTCCCATTGCGAGCCGCAGCCAGCAGGCCCGCGCCCTTCCCTAAATTACAGCAGAACCCCAGCAGTCTGGGTTCGGGGCTACTACATCCTCCAGGCAAACCCTGCCCGTCACGAATAGCTCATTTCCTGTAGCTGACGCGAGCAGTCCCAGGCTGCACAGGCGTGCTGGGCCTCATCTGGACAAGACCAGCTACTCACAGGGCCCACTGCAAACGGAAAAGCCCTTGCTCCAGAATAGTAAGAATGTCAAATAGCAACGACAGGTGTTATCCAAGCACCAGGTCCTTCTAGGTACAGGGCCTGGCGGTGTCGGGGCGTGGCCCCAGGAAGCTGGCCCTGTCTCTGGGTGGGACAGAGGGTGAGGCTGAGCCCCCAGCTCTTGTCCGCCTCAGCAGACCCCAGAGGCCTTGAGCGGTTTGGTCTTGGTCGTGGGCTCCTGACAGTGTCCGTGGCTCTGGCATCGAGGAGACTGTGACAGGCCACCTCAAGCTTCACCTTTAACCCCGCGTGGTCGAATGAGAAGCGCAGAGTCTCGTGGGTAGAAATGTTTCCGTATATTGGAAGGTGACTCAGGTACCTGGCCAGAAATAGATCCAATTCCACGAAGCAGCCACGGGGGACGTATCAAAGTAGACACGATGTGAAATGCTTTGTCCAAGAGCAAGGATTTCTATACGTAGAAAGCTCTGGAATTCTGCTGTGAAACAGGTTCTCTTAGTCGGGCGTCTCAGTAAATGAAATTCTTTTCTTTTAAAAAAATATTTGTCTTTATTGATTTAAGAGAGAGAGAGAGAAAGATAGAAACATTGATGAGAGAGAGCATTGATTGGCAGCCTCCTGCATGCCCCCCACTGGGGATCAGGCCCACAACCTGGGCATGTGTCCTGACTGGGAATTAAACCAGCGACCTCTTGGAGCATGGGTCGACGCTCAGCCACTGAGCCATACCGGCCGGGAGTAAATAAAATCCTTGCTTGTTCGTTATTTTGCTGCACGAGGAGGCTTCATATTTTCTGTGGTTTTGTGTGTGTGCTCACGTGTGCGTGTGTGCGTGTGCACCTGCCCCTCCCGTGGCGAGGCAGTTCCCGGCACCACGTGTTGAGCAATCACACTGCTGCCTGAGCTGGGGAGAAGGACACCTGCTAGCAGCGGAGGATTTATCACGCCACTGGCTTCTGTTTGCATATGTTGAACTGTTCCCCCTAATGTGAACCTGAGGGTTTTCGAACAAGAAAATGTGCAAAGATTCATATCCATGTTCAATGGGCTCTTTTTATTGATTTTTAGAGAATGAGGAAGTGAGAGAGAGAAACATTGTTGTGAGAGACAAACATTGCTGTGAGAAACATTGTTGTGAGAGAGAAACATTGTTGTGAGAGCGAAACATCTGTCAGCTGCCTCGCGCATTTGCCCCAACCGGGGATCAAACCTGTAACCAGAGACATGTGCCTGGCCCAGGAAGCAACCCGGTGATGTTTCAGTGCGCGGGACTACGCCCAACCAACGGAGCCACTAGCCAAGGCCATGTTCTGTGGTGGTTTTTTTTTTTACTACTTATTGTGACATTTTATCTAAAATTACTTTCTTTTCAACATGACCTTGAAAGAAGATTATTTCTTCAAAAGTGACTTGTGAGGTGCAGTGGAAAATTTTACTTTGCCATTTTTTAGCTGTGTGACCCTCGGGGAGTCATGTCATTGCTCTCAATTCAGAATTCGGACTCGCTCCCTCCTTCCCAGCTCACCTCGTCTGGGTGTAGTGGGCACTCGGTTATCCTGTGTGTCCTTCGAAGAAGTTCTGTGCATCTGTGTGTATGTGTGTGTTTCCCCTCCTCAAGGAAAAGCAGCACATTCTAGCATTGTTCTATAATTCTTGCCTATTTTCACTTATTGTTCTTTTCAAAACTCCATGTCAACACCGAGAGGTATTTGTTTTTCATGGCTTCATAGTTTTCCATGATCTCTGTATATTACCATGTGTTTAATTCTTTTCCTCTTGGTGGGCATTTAAGTTGTTGTCAGTGTTTTGTAACTACGTGCAATTCCGTAATGAATGTCTTTGCATATGTAGTTTCGTATACATTTGTGAATAAGCCTGCAGGATAAATTCCTACATATGAAATAGCTGGGTTACAGGTCTGCGCATTGTCCAATTTTGATGGATATCAGCAGAGAAGTTAGGAACATTTCTGCCCTTGTGTTAGTAAATGCCAACCCCACGGGCAACATTGGATATCGTCCGTTTTTTATCTTTACAAACCTGATCGTAGACTTGACCTGCTGATCGAACATGACCTGGGCCCCACATGGAGAACGTGGCTGTAGGTGCGGGCGATGGAGGAGAGAGAGCAGAGAAAGGAGCAATGGACCAAATCAGACTGTCACCAAGCAGGTGATTCTGAGCTCTCTGAGGACAGACAGGCCACAGACCTGCTCCAGCTCCCAGCCCCTCCCAGCTGCCTCTCTTCCCCACGCTAGGCTTTGGCAAATACCAACTTTTATCCAAAAAAGAAGCAGCACCTTCAATAGCTCGGGGAGTTAAAAGAATACAATCAACAAGCAAGTGAAAGCACCCATCACGAGAAGAAACGCCCACGGGAACATAGGTTCACGTGAATAGTCCTACTCCATCTCAAGAAAAGGGTGGACGCTGGGATTCACCTAAAAAAACAAATACACAGCACAGTGCAAAGAACAGAGGTAAAAAGCAGGCAGGCAGATCTCCGAAAAGACCTGAGAGGAGAGGAAGAGACAGCATGCTGGGAAGAAAGACCAAAGGGGAGGAGCAGGTGGCCCACAGACAGACGTGGCTGAAGATGCACAGGTGTGGCAAGCTGGCAAATGACCTCCGGTGGCGTTTGGATTCACACAATATACACACGTAACGTACACGCGTTTGGAGAGGCAGACACAGGCAGGAAGACAGACAAAGGACAATCCTCAAATGTACCTGGGCTGCTCCCTAAGAAGAGGGAAAATAAGCCCAAAGTAAAAATAATTGGATTTCATTGAAAGTGATCCAGAAATAAAGAAATCCTTCCATCTGCCATTGAAAACCCACACCGTGTCTCACTGGCGGGGGCTGGGAGGGGGTTGTCCTAATGATCCCCACCTAGAATATTCTGAAATTACAGAACGACCAGGTAAAGGTAGAGTCACATGGGCTCCTATCAGAGAAGATACCCAACCAGGAGTGAGTTGCGTCTGTGAACAAAGAGGCTGGTCTCAGCTACCACCACAGCACCGCAGCCCGGAAGACGGGGACGAAAATCTCCACGTTCCCAGAACAGACGGGACGCTCTGGGAACTTCCCACCCGGGAGTGTTGTTTTTGGCAACGAACACTCTCTCAGGCTTGCAAGACCTTACGAACTGCAGACCCCACGAGCCTTTGGAAAATAGAAAAGTGGCATCGTGATGAAATGTTGCCAACAAAGGAATAAATCAAATAATGAAAAATAAAGAAGCGATGGCGAACAGTGAATATATTTAAGCGAATAGAAAAAAAAGACTGAACCACCATGGGAAATATTTACAGAAGGAAATATAATTGTCATCCATGCAAAAAATACTGTTCTCACACGATCAGTACTGGGAAGAGGATGGGCGAAGGGTAAGATGCCCAAGTCCTCCTTTGAACGACACAACACAGTCCATGGGTAGCTTAAATGTGCTGGTAAAAATAAGATGCTCAGGGGGGCACTCGGGGCCCAAGCCAGGTGCAGAGGGCATCCGAGTGAGGGCAGTTTGGCCCGGGGCGAGCAGAAACTGGAGAGGACGAGTCCTCCTGTCTTTCTGAAGCAGCGTCCGGGTGTCCTCCTCCTTCCTCCACAATTAACGACCAGGAAAGACTTACATCCTGACGGGAGCCATCTCAATCCGGTCTCTCGGAAGGATAAGGACATGCGTCCGGCTCATCCGGCCTCAGCCTTCACGAGCTCACAGCGGCCAGGACTGTTCTAGCCCCAGAGTCCGAGCGAGGGGTCACCCACCGTCCCCGTGACACCGCAGCGAGCGTTGCAGTAGCCCTGAATACTCAGGAGTAAGAACGTGGATGTATGTTAACAGGAAGGGCGATGGCGACGATGAGAGGATGTGATGCCAATTTCAACATCAGACTTGACGTCCGGGAGGCAAAATGTCACAGGGCGAGGATCCCAATGTCTTCTGCTCACTGGGCCCTCAGGTCTTCACTCATGGTTGGCACGTCGTCAGTGCCTGGTTCAGTTCTTCTATTCATGGATCGAGAATGGTGAAACCGCCCGACCGGTGTGGCTCAGTGGTTGAGCGTCCACCCGTGCACCAAGAGCCGCCGGTTCGATCCCTGGTCGGGGCACATGCCCAGGTTGTGGGCCTGATCCCAGTGGGGGGCATGCAGGAGGCAGCCAATCCATGTTCTCTCTCATCCAAGTTTCTATCTCTCTCTCTCAAAAATCAATAAAGAAAAAAAAATAATAAAACGTGAAATCTATGATGGGCGGGAGCCCTGAGCCCCAGGACATGCAGAAATCGGTCCGTGACCACGGCAGGTGTCACAGGGGCTTCAGATCAGAAAGGCCTCCAAGGACAGGCCCAGGGGAAAGGCCTTTCCCTGCATTTCTGTCCGCGATCCCTGCTGTGCTGTGGCCTCAGGACGAAGGAAGGATGGGGGTCCGGGCCTCCCAGCTGGGGGTTCCCAGGGGTTAGGGTCCTGGGTGAGGCGGGACCAACATGGCCTCTGGAACCACATCTCTGCTGACCCAGTCACTTCATAATAAATATTTCTTGTTCTTCCGTGTGTGGTTCTTCTTCGCAGACATGACTTCAGTGAGCACGGTGCTTACGGGCTGTCATGGGGCTGACTCGGCCTCCGCCCGGAGCTCCTCAGAGGCCTGTTCACCCAGACGACAGCGCTGAGCAAGCCCAGGAGCAGGGGCACCTTCAGGAAGACCAGGAGCAGGAAGTGGACGCTGCTGAGCAGGGACCTGAGGGAGGGACACGATGACAGAGACGAGCTCCCTCCCAGGACCGTCTTCCCAGCTCTCCCAGGGCCCAGGGTGCGGGTTCCAATGACCCACGTGAGGACAGTCTGGGGCCAAGCTGACCACGCCCTCCACTGCCCAGCACACTTTCTCTTCTATTCCTGACAGGTCTCCCCCTGGCGTGCTCGGCCGGAGGATAACGACGGGCTCCTTCTAAGAACAAGAGACTAGGACACACCCACAAGGGGGACCCGTGGGGAGACGCAGGGGGAAGACGGCCGTCTACAAGCCAAGGACAGAGGCCGCAGAAGAATCCAACCCTGCCCGGGCTGCTTTGGCTCAGCGGTTATAGCGTCGGCCTGCGGTCCAGGGAGACCCGGTTTGGTTCCCGCTAAGGGCACGTGCCTCGGTTGCAGTTTGTCCCCGGCCCTGGTTGGTCGCGAGGGTGGCAGCCACTGGATGTGTCCCTTTCACGTCGATGTTTCTCTCTCTCTCCCTTCCTCTCTCTCCCTCCCACTCTAGCTGAACAAAAAATGGAAAAATGTCCTCGAATGAGGATAAAAAAAAAATTCAGCAGTCAATTAATTAATTAACTCTATTTGGTCCATTATCTATCTGTCAATTGGAAGTGCCTGAGGGCAGACAGCTTTGCTCTTTGGTTCATCCTCATGTCCCCAGTGCTCCCTAAAGCAGTGACGGACGTGGGGGGGAACTAGTAGTTATTGGTTGAATGAATGAATGAGTTATCCATAATGCTGAGCAGAACCGCTAAATGTTACTTCAATCTGACTTTGATTCTTGAATTTAAAAATTCCTTGCTATTACTTATTACAAGCAGTTCAACCCTGACAAGTGTGGCTCAGTGGACTGAGCTCCAGCCCATGCACCAAAAGGTCGCCAGTTCCATTCCCGGTCAGGGCACGGGCCTCGGTTGAGATCCATCCCCAGTAGGATGCATGCAGGAGGCAGCCAATCCTTGTTTGTCTCTTGCATTAATGTTTCTCTTTCTTTCCGTCGCCTTCCTCTCTCTCTAAAATCAATGAAAAACCTATTTTAATAAATAAATAAAAGAAGTTTGGCAAAAAAAAACACAAAAAACTCTGAAAACAGAGGGCAGATAAGAGAGGGGACAAAGGGGTCCCTGGGGTGATAAAATCCGCTATGACCCACAGGGATTCTGCGGGAAGACAACAGATCACAGCAGATCTAGAAACAAAGCCAGAGGGCCAAGGAGGGGGAGGGGAAGACAGGAAAGGGGCCCTCAGCCTCCAGAAAGGCCCTGCGGCTACAGGCTGGGCAGGGCTCTAGGAAGCATGAGCGAGACTCAGTTTCTTCCTCTGAGCAATGGGACGTGTGTATCCGCCCATCCCCTCCATGCGGGGGTCGGCAGCAGGGCCAAGGCCTGAACAGAGTAAGGGACAGGAAATCTCTCGGCGAGCTGCCCAGTGCTCCAGAGACACGAGGGACGGTCGGTATCACTGTGGTTGCCATACAGGAACCAGGGAAACAGGACTTCCCGGGCCCTTCCCGTTCTCCTGGAATTTAGATCAGGGGCCTGTGGCCCATTCCCCCCTGTGCCCACACGCCCTGGCCATGCCCTCCGCCCTGACTGCCTGCTCGTCCACCTCCCACACTCTGAGATGCACAGGGGATGCGCCACGTCTTTGTGAGAGGAGTCTGGAACATGCGGGCCCTGGGGAACAGCAGCCAGCCAACTTACCTGCCTTCAGAGAGGGGGCTGGTCGCAGTCGGGGAGCCTGCAGGGTTTCCCATGGTGACTGGCACTGTGAACACGGTGGTGGTAGAGATGATGGCAGTAATGGTAGTCGACACAGTGGTAGTTGCTGGGCACACAGAACAGGCTGCTTTCTGCTTGGCCTGGAACCCACCGCAGCCCTGCTCGTGGCTCTGAGCGGGAGCAGTGTGGGCGGCCCTGGCCGGCGGGGCCTGGGGCAGGGCCATGGGGAGGAGCGTGGCTGGACCACGCCTGTCTCCTGGGCTCTAGGAGCCTCAGAGCCTCAGGAGCCGTGAGCCGGGCACAGGTCCAAGGGGACAGCAAGCAGGCCGTGGGGGTGAGGGGCCAGCACGCCTCGGGTCAAGGGCGGCTGCAGTTCAACTTTGCACAGGCTATTGAGGGTCTATGATGGGATAGTTCCTTGTCGGGGTCCTTGTCAAGATGCCATGAGACAATGACCGTGCTGCACTTTGCAGCTGTGACAGGCCCGGGCCCCAGGTTGGGGGACTCTGTGGACTGTGTCACCTAGGTCACACGTGCCCTGTGAGGTTCTGTTGGCTATCCCAGGGTCGGCAGAACCAGAGCCCAACAGAAAAACCGCTTCAAACCCCGATACTCCAGGAGTGCCTGCATTCTAGGAGGTGTGGGGAAGGGAACGTCTTAAACCCAGATGGGATACGGCTCGTGAGGGACCTCAGGCACCCGGAATGCAGCTGTGAGCGCAGAGGCCTTTCCAGACCTCAGGAGTTAACCCCACTGTGCTGGCCTCCTCCCCCTGAGATCAGATGCAGAACAAGGGGTGTGAACAGCAGCTGTGAGCCCTGGTCCCAAACTCCATGAAGTGCGGGAACACCTGGCCCCAGAGGTCCCAGGAAAGCACTGGAAGGAAATGGGGTCTGTGGGTCTCACGGAAGACGGTCCCTTTGACAAATGCGCTGAAACTGGGGCCATCCCCGTGACCTCTACGGGCAATAGGCTCGGGCTCTGAGCTGCGCAGAGAGACTAAATGTCCAGAACGGCTGGGTCCCATCCTGGAGGAGGTCCTGGGGCCCTGAGAGCATCTGAGAGAAGCCCTCCTCCTCCGACCCCAGCTGAGCAGTCTGGGTTCCGTCAGACCTCAGGACTCAACCACCCCTGTGACAGGTCACTCCAAGTGAGTTCAGTCACTGGAGAGGGACCTCAGGGACCAGGACAGAGCAGGGCCTGAAGAGACATAGCACATAGTCTTACCTGGGCCAATGATCACGTTAACTCGGCTCCCACGGTCAGATCCTATTCTCTCAATCCCACACCAGTAAAGGTCTGTATCCGCGCGCCTGAGCGCCTTCATGGTCACAGTGAACGTGCGGTTGCTCTGATCGTCCCTGATGGACACGCGGTTCCCCTTCGCCTCCTGCTCGGATCCATTGGTTTTAACAAGGATCTTGCAGCTACTCAAATCAGCCCCTCGACACCACCACTTCTTGTAGGTCTCCCATCCTGGGGCATAGCGACACTGCACCTCCAACCACCCCTGCTCCAGGCCTTTCGCCTCCTCTGGACCCGTGATGGGAGCTGATGAGACTGGAAAACACAAATGCACGTACCTGTCACCTCCCACACCCCCAGGCCAGGGCCGCAGCCTCCGGCACTGGGAAGGGCTCCAGTGAGTCCAAGAGCCTGACGCTGCAGTAGAGCCAAGGGCGGTACACCTTCCACCAGGCAGACCTTTGTCCTTCGAACTCCCCCTGGGTCGGAGCCACCCGGAACATCACCTACGAGCACCACTGCCCACCTCAGAGGGACAAACATGGTGGCTCTGGGCGGTCATCACTTCCTGTAATTCACTCCCCACTCCCCGTGGCCACACATCTCTGTGTTCCCATCAGGGTCCCGTTGCACCAGCTCGTGTGAAACTGGTCTCATGGGAGGAGACCCCAGAGGACCCATCTCCACAGGAGCACGGCTGCTGCCTGACTGCGCTGTGGCCTCGCCTGGCTGTGCAGAGGCTGCTCCTCGTGGTTCTCCTGGTCCAGTGGGTCCACAGGATCCCCCCAGCTGAGCGCCTCTGTCAACTGACCCGAGAGTGATGCCCACTGCGGAGTCCACGTCACACATCCCGTGTTCTCCATGGGACCGTCCTGCATTTCAGTTCCCAGAACAAGTGATCTTACAGGATAAATGCGCCTAAGCGGTGACCTCATCTTTCTTGTGAAATTTTTCTTAAGCCTAATGTGAATGATTCAAGCAGGAGTTAAAAAATGGGGATAGTGCCCAGCCTTACTAGCTCCTGTCCTCACACAAACCACCTACAGAACAGCACTAGCCTGGGGAGGATTCTCCATGTGCTCTTTCTCCTGAAGGCCTCAGACAACAGAAGTCATTCCAACAAGACTTCCGTAAATAATGTATTAACCCAAGACAGACCCCTGCACAAAAATGACCGACTCTGAAGATCTATTTGCTACCAATAACCAGGTGTGAGCGTTGCGGTATGTGCTTGAGATGAAATTGGAAGCTGGAACAGTAGAATCCAACAACTTCAAACGCTCTTTTATTTTATTTTATTTTTCAGAGAGAGAAAGGAATGCAGGAGAGAGAGATAGAAACTTCGATGAGAGAGAACATCGATTGGCCGCCCTCTGCATGCCCCCCACTGGGGATCTGGCCCACAACCTGGGCATGTGCCCTGACAGGGAATCAAACAGGCGACCTCTAGGTGAATAGGGCAACGCTCAACCACTGAGCCACACAAGCCCGGCTCACATGTTCTTTTAAAAGCACACAGAGAACAGCAACAAAAATTGGCCATTACGGACCTCTGTGTCCTAGAACAGGTCTCTATAAAAGGTCAAGACCTGAAATCACAGCCTGTGTTCTCTGAGTACAATTCAGCTAAGTTAGAAACCAACCACAAAAATATAACCAAAGTGATTCTACACAGTCAGATGTTTAAAAGAAAAAGAGACACTTTTTCATAAGCAGTGCGCAAAGGAAACCATTACAGTAAAAATGTTTAAATCTTTTAGCTAAATGAAGAGGAAAATACTGCAAATCAAAACTTTTGGGATACAGCCTAAAAAGTAAAACAGGCCCTGTTTGGCTCAGTGTTTGGTGCTTTGGCCTGTGGCCGATGAGTCTCGGGTTCGGTTCCGGTCAAGGACACGTACCTTGGTTGTAGTTCGTCCCCGACCCTGGTCAGGTGTGCGGGAGGCAGCCACTCAATGTGGCTCTATCACATCGATGTTTCTCTCTGTCTCTCTCTCTCCCTCCCTCTCACTCTATCTGATAATAAGTAGAAAAATATCCTCGGGTGAGGAATAAAAAACAAAGTACAACAGTCTTACTCAAGACAACACCTCGGGTTCAGAAATACTGAACTCGTTACCATACACGACAGACGAGACTTTCAGATGTGAACAGGGCTGAGACCCAGAGAGAGGAGACCCCCGATGTTCCCGGCGGACACAGTGCCATCCGGCCCGAGCCCTGCGGTCCGGTTCCTTGGTGGCCCAGCTGGGACTATGAGAAACAACAGAGCTGAGCAGCCATGTGGCCCCGCCTCTCTAGGTCCTGTCCTCTCTGAGCATCAGGCACCAGCTGTCCAAGGACATTCAGTCCAGAATTAGACGCCTGCCTTTGTCCCCGTGACACACTCTGCGTGTCTCCGTCACGGCACTGACCACACCGCACGGCGGTCTGGCCTTTGGCTCGTCCGGGGCAGAACCTCAGGCAGGCAGATGAGTGGGCTGGAGCGACAGTCAGACAGCCTGTCCACCTGGCCTCCATCCTGTCCCCTCCCCGAACCTGAGCGCCTCACGGAAGGCTTCTGAGTTCTAGCCACACGCCACACCAGCCGCTGAGACTTAACACAATCCAGACCCCTGAGCCCACCCTGGCTGAGTGGGTCGGAGCTGGAGCCTCAGCGTCTGTGACCCCAAAACGTCCCCGACACGGTTCGCTCCTGAGCTCGTCCACCTGCTCGTGCAGCACGGCCAGGCTGAGCATCGCTGTCCGGAAAGAGGCACTCAGGTTCCCTGTGCTTTTCTGTTGCTTCCCGGCACCTGACGGAGCACCTGGGAGACAGCAGCGACTTGCTTTTCATTGAAGTGTCAGGGTGATGAGATGGCCCTGCCATCCCCCGACGTGTCCCTGTCCCTCAGGACAGACCCTCTGGTTCCCTGCCCTGCCTCAGTCATTCTGGTTCCTAACCCCCAGCCCCACTCACCTGGGACAACGAGAAGGAGCAGAGGTGGGAGCAGCCACATGGTCCTGCCTGCCCGGTTCGGTCCCTGTCACCATGAAACCCCAGTGTCCTCCAGGGACTTGAACAGAGGAGCCCAGAGGCAAACTGCCTTCGATGTGCGTAAATCATTGTGTCTGTCTCTCTCCTCTACTTCCCGTATGTCCTGTCTTCAGTTACTTCCTCACTGCACCAGGTAGGGGAAATGCTGTGTCGTCATCTACGTGTGTGGCTGATGTGTCTTCAGTGATTGGGGAGAAGCCAAGCGTCCAGGCCCGGCCCGGGTTCCCCTTGCGGGCGTGAGTGTGAGGAGCTGAGCAGGTGGCTGCCAGCAACAGGGGGCAGGACGTCAGCGGGCCGCGGGCAGGAGCTCAGAGCTGGCTCCCGGGAGTGAGGGACACGCGCTGGATGTGCCCTGGGGGACGGACGAGCATTCAGGGGGACACCCCGTCTGGCTGGAGGCACAGCCCACACCCAGGACAGCGTCCCCCCAGGGACTGAGTCACTCTCAAGCCGACACAGGCTTGGGGACAGTAGCAGACACAGGCTTGGGGACAGTCGCAGACACAGGCTTGGGGACAGTAGCAGACACAGGCTTGGGGACAGTCGCAGACACAGGCTTGGGGACAGTATAGGGAAGGAGGAGTGGTCTTGCCCTCAGCCTCACTCTGTCCAGGAGGCTCCCCCCACATCTGTGCATATGGCGCTGGCTGTGGGCTCCCGGCAAACCCACTGCGCCGTGGACTCCGCTTATTCGAATGAGCTCCTGGGGACCGTCCTCACCTCCCTCTTCCTCCAGAACTTCCCCTCCCTCCTCCTCTCACCTGTCCCTGTCCCTCTCAGGATCAAGATCTCCTCCTTTTTAAGAAATATATGTGTCTATACTTGTGACTTTCTTTCTGCCTTTGAGAGGTTTATATTTTGTGTTTTTACTTTGTGTTCCAACCCTTGGATGAAATATTTACTATAGAAATTATATTTCTCTTTCAACAGCTCTTCTTTGGTCCTCTGATGGCTGGTATTCTGAACTTTCTTCTGTTCCCTGAATGACGTCTCCTGACTGCTGGTGGCTTCGTGTGCTTTGGTTTGGTGATTGTACAGGAGGACAGGCTGTCTGTCCTCCAATGTCTGGTCATTCTTGATTCTCTGATCGTGTCTGAGGATGATCAAAAAACAGCGCTGACAGAGACCTCTGAGCACGTGGAGCCAAAGAACATGCAAAAGAGTTCCGTGTCACTGTGTGGATGCCGGGGGCTGTCCACCCTCCTTGACTCACACGCAGTCCCCAGATGAGCGGTGAGCGGCCGTCTGCAGCGGGGCTCCGGCACCCCCTCCGCTGCCCTGGTCGCGATCTTATTTACTAAGGGAAAGGCCTCTCTGCTGCTTGTCCTCGGGTAATGCCTGCCTGCAGACATGCGGACGATGTGCCAGGATACACGAGTTTGGGGAACTGTTCCTTGAACACAACCCCAACCGCTTCCCCGGTTCCATCCCACTTCTCACCCACCTGCGGACTCTGAATTCACAGCCCCGAGTCCCCCAGGCAGGTGGGTAGAAGCAGGAGTGGGAACAGGCGGCACATGTTACCGGCTCTTTGCCTTGAAGTCTCCGTCCGGAAGGCGCCAGACGCTGGCTCGGACCCTCCTGGAGCGGCGGCCCCTGAACCCGGTGCGCTTCTCCCCGTCTCTGGAGCACGGCCAGTGGCTTGTCCCTTCTTGTTATCGAGGCCGATTAACATGCTATCATAGCACAGTGGACCCCGTATGTGCTGCGCACTGTCCCGAAGACCCAGATTCCTTAGCACGGAGCTCTGACGGAGAGGAAGACGGTTGACACAGCCCTGGAACAATTCTCAGAACGTGCTCAGCTGTCCAGGCTAAGTGAATGCAACCTGCCTCTGTCCCTCTTCCTGCTGGGCATGGAAAGGATACACTGTCCAGGTCGACGGTCACACCCGACACAGCAGTAGGCACAGAGGCTGCAGCATGTCTGCTCCTTGGATCAGCTGTCACCAGCCCACGGTCATGCTGAGCTAAAGGCAGATATGATGGGGGACCTTCCTCCATGTTCTTGCAGTCTCGGAGGGTGGCCCTAGTCTCTGGTTTTCTCCGCACATGTGATGTTTTCCATTTACTCTCTTGGTCACAGCAGAGGGGCAGTTTCAGGGCCTTCCACTTGTTCATCCTCAAAGTGATCACTTCTGCCTCACAGGTCAGAAAGTCACCCCAGAACGGGACTGATTGCAGTGGGTATAAATTTTACGCACACAATTGTCACCAAAGGAAGCAGGACAGAAAACAGTGCATGTGTGATTACATAAAGTCCACACAACAAATTTAGGCTGTTAGAAGACCGGAGGGCGGTGACTTTGTAAGTAGTGACGGGAAGGAAGTTATGACACCATGACTTTCTAGGTCGAGGCAAGAAGGAAACAGAGCGGGCCGTCGGGGGGTTGGTAATGTTCATTTCTTGATCTAGGAGCTGTGCAGGAGTGTGGTTTGCTTGTACAAAGTTATTGAATTGTGCACTTTAAATATGTTTTTATTGACTTCTTTTTTTAGAGAGAGAGAGAACAGGACAGAGAGATAGAAACATCAATGTGAGAGAGAAACATCGATCAGCTGCCTCCTGCACACACCCTAGTGGGGATACAGCGTGCAACCCGGGCCTGTGCCCACAACAGGAAATGAACCAGGACCTCTCAGTCCATGGGACGATGCTCAGTTCACTGAGATACACTGGCCAGGCTGAACTGTGTACTTCACTTCTTTTTATTTTTATTTTTTATTTTTGTTATTGATCTTAGAGACAGAGGACGGGAGAGGGAGAGAGAGACAGAAGCATCAATGACAGAGAACATCGATTGGCCACCTACTGCATGCCCCCACTGGTGATCAGGCCCACAACCTGGGCCTGTGTCCTGACCAGGAATTGCACCAGCGACCTGTTGGTGAGTCGGTCGACGCTCAACCACTGAGCCACACTGGGCAAGCTGAACGGTGCACTCGAGATGTGTGGACTTTCTGTATGTGTTTTACATTCCAAGACAAAGTTTTTTGTTGTTGTTAATCCTCACCTGAGGATATTTTTTCATTGATTTTTTAGATAGAGTGGAAAGGAGAGAGGGAGAAAGAGAGAGAAACATTGATGTGGGAGACACGCATGGATTGGTCGCATCCTGCACAACACTGATGGGTTCGGGGGATCAAACTTGCAACCCAGATGCATGCCCTTGACCAGAAATTAAACCCACGACCCTTTGGACAAAGGGCCCATGCTCTAACCTCTGATCCACACCAGCCAGGGAAAAGTTTTACAGTTTGACCAAGGAAATCTTTCAAGCCATTACACAGCTGTTCACTCAGTTCTCTAAATAGCTGCCTGCTGTGCCATTGTGTGGCTTCAGCAGAACGAACTGCTCCCGCACTGATGGCCATTGGGCCTGCCCGCACCTCCTGCCCTTGCTGTGGACGCTGCAGGCGTCTGGGTCCAGGGAAGACGGCCCGCACGCTCCGCGCGTCTCTCCACCGATCGCAACTGAGCCCAGACAGAACGTGCGGAGGGAGCAGATCTGAGGCTGCAGCGGGATGAATGGCGACAGGGGACGAGGGAAGGAACCAGAGAAGTAGGGCCACTCAGCTCTGAGTGCTCGGGCTTGTGCCTTCGATCTGCCCCCTGTCTGGGCAGGACACCACGGGCACACTCAGCAGGCCCCGTGCCTGCTCGGGGGAGTGGAAGAGGGAAACTGGAAGGGAAGAGGCGGGGAGGATTCCCAGAGTTTTCCTGGTGTGTGTGTGTGTGTGTGTGTGTGTGTGTGTGTGTGTGTGCTGTCCCTCCCGGCCGGCCCCCAGCAGCCCCAGCACAGAAGCTACAATTCAGCCTCGACCTCAGGGGCAGGTCCTCTCTGACCAGGGGAACCACGGTCTGAAGACATGGGGAGAAAACCATTGCCTGTTTCTCTCTTGTTCTCCCTCTGCTTCGTCCTGGATGCTGACAGTCACAGGGAGACACAGCAGCTGGGGACAGAACAGACCCAGCTTTCTAGCCCCAGGCCCAGGAAGGGGAGGAGGGGGCTCTAGGCTGGGAGGCGGTGTTGGGGGAGATCAAGAAGGAGAAGTAGAATAAAAAGAAAAGAAAAAAAAAAGCCCTGGCCGGTTTGGCTCAGCGGTTAGAGCGTCGGCCTGCGGTCCAGAGAGACCTGGGTTCGGTTCCCACTAAGGGCGCGTATCTCAGTTGCAGTTTGTCCCCGGCCCTGGTTGGGTCAGGTGGGTGGCAACCACTCGATGTGTCCCTTTCACGTCGATGTTTCTCTCTCTCTTTCTCCCTCCCATTCTATTAGTACGAAATATAGAAAAATGTCCTCGAGTGAGGATAAAAAAGAGAAAAAGAAGGAGAAGTAGCTTAAGAAGGGAACCCTGGACTTTTTACAAGACAAAAGTTATGGCAAAGCCACTGTTCGGTTGATGAGCCCTCTCACTGCAGGTACAGGGGGCACCATGTCTGACTTTCCATCAACCTGGTCAACACTGTTCACCCAGCCCTGGTGAGCCCCTGAGACCCTGCCCCACCCACATATGGGCCTACCCAAGCCACTTCCAGGAACGTTCCATACAACCGGCCTGTCCTGGCTCATGCTACAGATTTTCCGAAAATGTCTCAAAGGTTCACAAACCCCACAGAAGCAGCACCTGGCCTTGGTGTGCCCTGCACTTCTTGATACGTTGCCCCAGGCCTGGTACTAGCAGCAGACAGATTCATTTGCAGCTTGGCCTCTCCTGGGCACCTCCAAGCCCAGCACAAGTGGCAGCCGTCTGTATACTGTTTGGTAGCTCATTCCACGTAGCCCTGGGCCGGGCACAGGCAGCAGCTGACCTTGGCCTGCACCTCCAGGGATGTCCCAGAGCCAGTGCACCTGGCAGACAGCTTCAGATCATGCCAGAGCCCCATCCAACCCCCGCCACGAGTGCACCATCCAACCCCTGCCACGAGTGACACACTAAAGGGGTGGACACGGCAGGCACCAGAGCCCCATTGATGCGAGTTCTGTTTTAGGGTGTCGGCCCCTGCATAGCATCTTCTCCACTATACTCCCCGCCAGTATCGGCCTAGGGGTTCATCCCTCCCAGCGACGTACCAACAGCAATCGTGTCTCAAGTTCAACAGGAGAGGACACACAGCCTGCATGGGGGAGGGGCGGGCATGCCTGGGGTTCCCAGCACCAGTGACAAGAGGCTGCATCACTGGACCCAACAGGACACCTACTGCATTAGGCCACCCGGTCAACCACGGGACACACAGAAGATCTACCTAATACATAGAAACAAACACAGAGAGGCCGCCAAGTGGGTACACAAAGAACATGTCCCAGATGA